TCCTCACATCTGAACTAGAATTTCTGAGGAAATACGGGCTGCAAGTTTATTGCCTGTTTTTCTTTCCCCACTTAGTGGGCGTTGCGTATGTTTTGATGTTGTTCTTGTAATGTATCGAAAACACCGACCGCTCACTTTTTTGGCTTCGCTCTATTTCTTTGTACAGCCATATTGGACCCCTCGTTTCGATTAGTGTTACCGTTACACTTCGTTTTGGATAGAAAATGCAGTAGCAATCAAAATTGAAGGTTTGTAACTGGGTTTTGTGCATATATTTTGTTGTAAAGGACAATTCCAACAGGGTTTGCCTACGGTTTGGATATATATTCTTCTTTTGGTAGCCAATTGTTCTGCATTTGGTTGGCTTCGCTTCCGGCCTGGGAACTCTGCAGATTCGTACCTTCGTTACTTGTTACCCAGTGGGTTTTCTGTAACAATAAATCCTTCACAGATAATGGGTCCATCACTCACTTGGCCACTATCTATGCCTCCTGGTCTGGCGAAAGTATTTATTGGACCTCTAAGAGTTCAAAGTGAGGCTGCTACCAATCCTACGTACTTGTACCCCCGACGGACCAAAACATTTTTTCACAGGGCGTCTGATTACTATTTCACCAGCTTAGATTTTGTGATCAGTAAAGTACACATTAGAAAAGTACTCATCAACTTGATGCACAGTCAGATTTCCCTGTACATCTAAAAATGACCCGGCATATCCAAATGGTTGTACGAACTTCACGTAAGAAAATCATGGGAGTTCTTTTTATATGCGCAAATTAAACTGTTCATATGGCTCGGGTGAGTTTAACAACATAGGAACTTCTGTCTTCCAAATCTGTCTTGTGTGGTATATCGCACCACAGCGTCTGCTCCTGCTTTCCTTTTTCTTCTTTTTTCAGCTTAAGCTAGAAAAGATAATCCTGAGCATGAGTTTAACCGAAAACATCAGCTTACTGAACATACTACATTGTAAGTGATGTGGGGAATTACTGAAAGAATTCTTCAACTGGTTTTCTCTCATTGGTTTCCAGTTTTCTGAAAGGTTTCACAGTGAGGTCACCTAGTTACCAACACCCCAAATGCAACCGTATACGGAAAACCAACTACAATAACTGGTCTAAGGCTTCTGTGTGGTTATAAAGGTGGCGAAAATTTGGATAAAGAAATAAATTTAGGAACTAAACTCACTAGGTGGCCCAGAGAGAAACATATTCGAAAACAACCCCCCACAACAAACTTCTTCAGTACTTCACCTCACTTGCCTACGTCTGACATACCTCCTTGATAATGCTGCATACTTCGGTGTTAAATCTATGTACAAAACTGCACTATCATTGGATAATAGCCCTTCAAACGTTTATTTCTTTTTACCGCAATTACTGGTTCTGATGGCTTACACTGGTATTGCTGTAAGGTTACACGACGAGTGGGAAATGTATAGAGTTAGGTATTCAGGTGGATTATATGGTTTTAATAGTAATAATAATATATTTCGAATAATAAACTGTACGGACAGGCAACGTCTGAGCGTTATTGTTGTTTGTGAGTCTGAGAAAAGCAAGAAAGGATACATTGGTACACTATGTCAGCACTTGCCGTTATGTGCAATCCATGAAGCGAGTTTTTGTAGGCCAACCACACTATAAATATGTGAACTGAAGCTAAAATAGTTTATCTGGCGAAGTACGGGACTATACAGGCAGGTCAAGCATCTCAGTCACATGTGGCGTAAGCTTCGAATATTACGAGATTGTAACGCCACTTTACTGCGAGAAAAGTATGGAGTATGGAAACGAGTGGGAGTCATAAAGAGTGTGTGTGTATTGTAATGTGACACGCTGATGTTCTTTCCATGACTTGCAGACGTTCTGATATCATGGTAAACTTTGATGTCTCTTCTCCGGCATCATGCGGGGGAGTTCAATTAATAAAGATTTCTTCACCATCATCGAGCTGATGATGCCTATGACTTGGCTGCTCTCATTTTGAGTTCCTAATTCGAGGAAAGAATGCTTATTTACCTATCATCAGGGCACTGGCCATAACTATAGGTCGCAGGTGGTTGAGAGTAGCGCGGCGTCCGATGGAGATTGACAAAAGGATGGGATATCTAAGGTCCACCCACGAATGGCGATAGACATGCTTATGTAAGGCTTGCTTACACGAAATGATTATAATATTTGTATCTAAATTCGCAAGTGTGCATCGTTTTCCAGATATGGCTGTTACATAGTAAAGAAATTTCTTCGGCAGTGTCGTTATTCGTCACTTTTTCACCCCAGGTCGTGGAAGTCCCCGGGCTGAAAGAAATGCGCCTTAACTTACACATTGAATTTTTGTGATGCCCTTTTAATTTCTCCGGCAGAAATGAAAATCGCGTTCAGTGATTGTGTAAAAGCATCATGTAAAGAAGAAGGCAAGGCAGTTCAACAAGTTTACCCCAGAGAAGTAGTGTTGGCGGAATTCCAAAAGGATTTTCATTCAACAATAATGTACAGCCACGCACCACTTTTACAGGTATGTATGAATTTCTGCGTAAATTTCGTGTTTCGTAAGGCCAGGTAGCTCCAATCCTCATCTATACAGTCACTAGAAAACTAGTGTATGGCTGGTCAATACGGTGGAGCATGGCAGCAGAATAGGTAGGAACAGGTTGACAAGATGAGCAAGTGGGAGCATTGCCTTCGCATTACCGAAAGAGTCAGAACTTGTATGTAATCAATGCATGTATTGCCTGGAGAAAACTGAAGTTCGTTGTCCATTATTGATTGCAGGACTATGTATTTCGCGTGTTCTCGCATCAAATCACATCGAAGATGGATAATCCTGCTGGATATTACGAGCACAAGCCGAATATCTGCAGTTTCCCACTCCAGCAACACAACACGCTGGGTTTGTTTGAGTGGATCAAGTGGACTTCCAGGATACCACCATTTTTACCGTTCGTGATAACTTGTGGCTGGTAAGTGTGAGATTTTTCGCGGTCACCTCCTTAATCAGTAAATCCCGCATTTAGATACTGACGGGGCTGTTTTCCTGAGATTATGAATAGCTTCCACCCAGTATGGTTGGGTGTTATGAATGTAATAACACGTCAGCCATTAGCGTATAGTTTCCATTGAGGTCCGTCCCCTTGAGAAATTTCCAATTATGTTTAAACCAATATTTAGAACCTAACCGTTTCGCCACAGCAGGGAATAAAAACAAAGTAGCAGGTTGAGGGGCGGGAATTCAGACAAGGAGTTCATCTCCCAGACGCTTGATCTTCCTGACTTAGCTTTCTCTGCTGTGGCACCAATTGTACACGCTTTGTTTATTAAACGCTCAAAGACATAGCTTCTACGCTTCGACATAGCTGATGGTCTTTACCTTTGTTTGCCATGGCTAGTAGAAAAGAATATGCGGCGTCACTAAAGCGTGAGAAGTTATGAGAGAGTCTTCTCAACCTTACGGAAAGGGTTCAACGACAGGTTCTTTGCATACATATAAAAGTGTACATATAAGGCTCAGGAGTCTCTTATGAACAATGCACGCTTGTTGCTTCGACTTATTCAATTAATTGGAAGGTCACCTGGAAGGTCGTTACATCCTCATGCGCTTTGATAAGGCCTACCTCAAGCGAATTAAAATGGTGGAAATATTTTGACTGGGCTGGTACTGAAAAATCACTGGGTGCCTTTTCTGCAGCATCAGCCTTCTGCCCAGAAGAGACAGTTAAGTGGGTTTGGTAGTTAATACATAAACTTGATCATCTAGACGTTCAGGCAGCCTGGTATGTTGAACGTTGGGGAGCGTAACTAAGTTAAATCTAACGTTTTTATCACGTCGCTGGAGGCTTAGAATTCGTTTGGCGGCTGGCTAAGATAAATAAGTGACGTGTGGGGCTAATTTCAACGGGAAGCTGAGCCCATATTTGGCGGAATCGGGTGGAAAATAAGCTAGCACGTAAGAATGTCCTAAAAGGTTCTACTTGGACTTCGCATACTCGGATGCATAATTTATAGTAGCCTGCTTTTGAGAACTGAAGTTGTTTGCCAGATGAAATGGACACATCATGCAGCATCTTAGAAAAGAAAACAAGATTTATCTTTTACCGTTCCTTGCAGTGGGTCCGGCTGCACGAGAATCACGTTTGGGTAAGATGAATAATGTCTTCCACATATCGCAGGACAGAGAAGTTTCCAAAGAAATGGAGTAGAGCCCAAGCAATAATATTGGGGTGTTAGGACCGCCAGTTTTGAAGAAATGTGATGATATTCCATCTGCACCCTGGCTGCTGTAGCTTTTGAATGTTCTGATAGTTTGATTGACGTTATCACACGAGAACAGAGTGTTGCAAATAGGCTCTGGGGTATGGAACGAGGGCTGGTCGATGATGGCTATCAAGTTCATATCATCAGAGAAATTCGCTGGTGGCAGATAGCTAGAGGAGAACATATTGTCCGGTGACACTACCCAGGAGAAACCCATTTTCACCATCGCACAAATCTTACAAGCCTACAAGTTTAATCAACACACTGCAGCTCATCGAGTAGGACAGTGCTAAAGGGGTGGATTGGTAGAACTACCACACCGAAACCCATCAGAAACGACGACCATCCTGCAAAACCTAGAAGCGAGGGAAAAAAATCAGTTGGAATGCCCAAAATCAGAAGATATTGGATATTGGACGTACGACGTCCAAGCGTCTGCTTATATTGTGGTGCTCACTGCCATGCATTCTTCAATATCTACAAAGACAGATTTCTTTAATCTATCTTTTATCCCCTCTAAGCGTCTTTTCTCCAGATTTCGGTCGTACATACCAAGAATCTCTGGCTCGGCAAGACATTTATGAAACTTATCAGGTCCAGTTTACATCTTCTGGGGTTAAACTTCAGCTTCCAAACAAGACAATTGTCTATTTCAACCAAATTTCTTATCCCATGAAGTTTCATAAGCAACCTGCAACGTAACCTTCATCACAATTCATCATTGTTATGCAGCGTCAAAAACATCGTTACAGGACCAGACAAGTGACCTTGACTAATGCGTCTCCTTTTTAGTTAGTTGTTCTCAAGGTCACCGAAGTTTATTTCTATCAAGTACTAGCACGAGGTAAAAGCCGCAGGGGTAAATGTGCCATCAGTACTTGTTTGTGTGATTCAATTAAAATAAAAAACGTATTTGTTTCCTCACTCGGCATCTTTTGTCGTGAGTGTTATGGATTGTGTCCTTGAAATCCTTAAGAATCACAAATTTGTGATTACTTGTACTTTAAAATGAGTAATTAGTCCAACATTCTAGTCTATTCATTGCGTTCTTAAATTACTCATTAGTGATGGTGATCAGCCTCAACTGATTCAGTTAACTGCTAACTTGACGTAGTGGTTTTAACCACTTCGTGCCCATATGGGCATGATATCGTAATGGAGCTAAATTATGACTGATGATGATACTTTGAGACTGTTCATGAACATATGTGTTGTCTTCACCATCAATGAAGGCTAGACATTTTGCGTCTCGTTTCGCAATTTGAACTACTTAGTTACTTTGGTACCAAAAGTAACTGATACCGGTCAATGTACTAAAATCCTGTAGAAGCTTTCATTACTTATGACAAGCACTTTCACTGCCCTTGCTAGATGAAACTATGCAAAGAATCACAAAAGTAAGACTGTTTCGGTGTTCGATTCCTGTGTCAACTGACTCTTGGCTACTATTCCAGAACGGTTGGCTACGGAACGTGTTCTTATTTTACTGTAACGGCGCTCAAAGGAAAAGTTTTCAACTTCCTAATCCCTTAGTCAAGATCTGAACCATTTCCTTGGATTGACGAAAAGTGGAATCAACAAGGTGTTTGTTGAGCACAACTGATATTCCCTATTAATATCAGCATATTCTGCTCTTTATTTATAAGAAGGAGAAGTTCGAAAGGTTTGTCTTAAATTTAGATCACATATTTCATGTCTGAGAGATTTCTGGTGTCGGTATCAGCCCGTTTTAATATATCAACCAAATACAACTCAGTCTAAATCAGGGAACTGAAAAAGCTATGTTTGACCATCATCTGAGTAGAACTAATGGTCTAGAAAGTCACGCTTTCACATCGATAAAGCCAACCACTATAGTTTGCTCTCTGTGAGTTCCTCAAGAAGGAGTAACCTTACACGGTTTGTGTGACCAGAAAATGTAAGCCTATCTCTTAGCTTTTGAAATCACTCAGATCCCTCTTAAAGCCACCAACCCTTCACTTTTTTACTTTCTCGATTTTCTCCAACTTCATTGTATCATCTTCAACTTCTGTGTCTACAGTTTGTGTTAAAAGTCTAGGTTTACAAAATGGGATCATTGGTGTATTAAAACAGCGCTTCCAACTAAATACATGTGCTTTCAATGTCCACAATTCTCTTTAAATTAAACAACAAGTCATAATAGCCATTGATATGCTATTCATCTAGGAAACATGTATGCAGGACCCAAGCTTAGGGATTAGCTTAATCTAGCCCAGCCAGGTAGGTAAAACTAAACCTTTCACTCTCTGATCATCTTCAGATTCATCAGCTAGTACTTTCAGATGTAAGTGCAGCTTTAACTCCCAAACGTGAGTTACGTGTGGTTAACCACCACTTACCCCGATGCGTTGTATTAACTGAAGTTAGGTTGAAACAAAGATAAAAGTGGTCATATAAAGACATAAAGTTAATTCATATAATCTCTGAACAGTGAGAAAATGTAGATTATGGAGTACGGGTCAACAAAATAACCAATACTGAAGGTTAGAAACTAGGTGATATACCTCCAAATCCATCACAGCGTTGAAAATGCATCTACACCTTAACTTCCTTCTCATAATTACATGATTATCCATTATAAACATCATTTCTTGTGATTTTCTACGACTTTTGGTGTTATTTTCATTTTTTTGTCTTTGTGACGATGGGTGATGTAATGATGTAACATTTAGCAATTTGGACTGTTACGCACTGATAACACTGTTAGCTGTAACTGACACTCCATCGTTTGCTAATTCAAAGTGCTAATTTTCTCCACTGTATGCTACACATAATATCAGAGACATGTATCTCCCTAAACCGGGAACTATTGCTGCAAGCGTCCATACTTGACTGCTATCGTATTTTATGTTTTTGGTGAAACTTCTTTTACCTCTTTTTTCTTTTTAGATCTCAATCTTCTCAGATAATGGACTCGTTTATATAGAATAAGAGCTGCTCAATAGTGTTTGTAACAGTCAAATACTATGTATATGAAAATGTCGGTGTACTTTGTTTAAGATAATTCACTCATATAGAGCGATGGAATTTAATTCTGAAGCTTACATGAATGTTTCACCAGCGTTCATTCTCAACAAACGGGCTAATCTTCTCAGAATAAATGTATCCTGGACATGTGAAGAAAATGGTCCTTATCATAGCAAGGTGTTTTGTGTCAAAGTTACCATTATTCCGCACATATCGCATGATTCTGAAGTGTATTTTGGTATTGGAAAAAGTATTACAGAAGCAAAACATAAAGCCGCTGAAAGTGCACTGCGCTCTTGCAAATTATTCCAAAGCAACTCTAAATTCAGTTTAGAGTCATCACGAATGGAAAGCACTTGTATAAAAGCAAAAAAAAGTGTAAGTGCTATGTCTTTTCACTTTTATTTTCTGATCTTTATAAACGCGAGTTTGAACGTAAACAGAAGTATGCAAGAGCTGGTTTGGAATATGTGACTTACTGGCTAAAGAAAAGCGTCTATCTTGGTGAATGACTCTTCCAAGTTGCTCGTGAACTAAAAATAACTAAATTTCACTAACTGATCATTGATTTTATATTTAAATTAGCTCATTTGCTGACTATTTTTTTTACTTCCTTTATGTTTCATTACTTGAAGACCATATTGTTAGATATGTATTGAAGATAAGTCGAGTTAATTGGCAACAAATTTTACTGATTGTTTTTATTCCTCATAAACATTACAGGTGGAGCCTTTCATTATTCTTACTGAGTGTGTTTCAACTTCTGATACTGCAACAGCACAGCTTAGACGACTTCTTAATTTACTTGGTTCGAAAGTAAAACTCAATTACTCAGGGCATATTGAAAATGGCAGTTTGGTAAGCAATATTTACATATTATTACTTTACAAGCCCATTGGATCTTATTTAATAAGAATACGACTGTCTTTCAGTTTGCTGTTAATATTTAATAACTTAGTGTATCAAAGTATAAAGTGGTGTTTGTCGGAGAGAAGAAAAACTGTTGAGTAAATGCAGTTGAACTCCAGGTACTTTACTGAAGCAGAAGATACATTTTCCGTCTCTCTGTTAATCATAATGAATGATATACGCACGTTTCATAGGTGACCACAAGCTATGGTTTGTGTATTCAACTTCACAAGAGGCATTAATCTAGTATAGCCACAGTATTGTGGTCAAATGCCTCAACTTGTTCTTTTCATGCCGATAAGTGAGCTCGTGATAATATGGTTCTAATGTTGGCAATAAAAATATTCTGCTTAAATATCTGGTTGATCTTTAGCGAAATCATTCTTCTGCCCGAAAAATTAGCATATTAGATCTACTCACATCATATTAGAGATTTCAACTTCTGAACCCTATGCCAAGTCGAACAACAGGCATCGCTCACCAGAACTGTGGAATCTTTAGCCATGGATGTATGCTGCATCTCTGAGAAACGATCAGAGAACCCAAGGTTGCTTATTAGATTGACCCCACTGGGTCATTGCGTTGATTCTTCAACATTCACCTTACGAGTTCCCAGAAATTTAACACTCGTAGGCACAGCATTGAGTTGTAAAGCAGAAGGCACACTTCTGGACTAGATACCAGTCAACAGCCGTCCGTTTGCTGTTCGACTGATTGGATCTATAAGAACTAGGAAGGGTTGTGGTTCTAACCGGTACCCATTTATAATGTCCACCTACACCCCCCGAACTGCCCTTCGGAAGAGACAAGGGATGAATTCCATCAAAAGCTGTCAACTCTGCTACATAAAGTGAAACGCTTAGATATAGTCATAATAGGAGGCGACTTAAACGCTCAAGTAAGGAAGCTGGGCCAATCCGAAAGGCATCTTGGAAGTACCTACAGTATACCATACCAATGGACTGATAAAGGTGATTGTCAGTAGCAATTTTGTCCCGAAAATCACTTGTTTCTAGCCAGCACTAACTTCAATCATAAGGTGAAAAACTGTCTCACCTGGCGTCTGCTAAAATAAAATCAGCGATGGACAAGGATAGATCATATTGCTATGAATCATCATTGAAGGACATCAGTGGATGATTGTGTTTTATGGAGTACCTGTCTAGTTGCACCACGCGTTTGTATGGGCTTGTGTATGTCTGCGACTTACTGGTCGCAGGAAGCAGGTGGCAATGAAACCTGTCCATGCTCGATCGGAAGATGCGAATGTTAAGTACGTATTTACACAGGAATAGCTAAACATTTATTTAAGTGTAACAGCAATCCTCATCCTGAGGAAACCTGGCGTGATACTAAGTTTACCGTAGAAACAGCGGTAAACACGGTTAGCAACCCAAATCTTAAGTTCAGCAAACATCAGTTGATTTCCACAACGTCATGTAATTCTTGTGAGAAGACTCACCTCATTTGGCTGTGAGCACGATGAAGAGCGAAGGCATCTTAAAGGTAATTTGATTGCCAGTCTTCTCTATGCTCGTGACCAGGGGTAGTAAAAGCGAAAGAGATGGCAAGAGCGTCAGCGTTAGATAACACCCGGCAATTACTTAGGTTTAATAAGGATATTGGCAAGAAGACGAAGGTTGGTGGAATCATTCCGTAAAGTTTCGGAGGCTGACAGCCTCGGGATAGAAGAATATCATGAAGCTCATTTCAACTGGCGCATAGCAACGCTTCAGTTGCCCAGCATCCATCTTAAACCTAAGTGGGACGCATAAACCAACCCCTCAACTTTCGTCGAAGTTGAGAAAACTGTTTCAAAAAATGCGAAGCAGTAGGACATGATGGCTTGCCATCAGAAGCTTCTAAGGATAGAGTTAGTAAATTGTTGATCAGAGTGACGAAGGTACTAGGTAGTTTATGGGAATCGGAGATAGTGTCGTCAGACTGACCTACTTCCCTGATCATTCCAGTTTATAAAATGGGAGATAAATCCTCTTGTCATAACCGTAGAGGAATCAGTTTAACAAACATCGTGTCTAAGATCCTTGGGTCCATAGTTATCGAACGTGTAAATGGAGCTCGAGGACGGATAACTCAAGGAAACTAGGCAGGTCTCAAACCTGGATGAGGTTGCATCGACCAGACCTTCATTCTTCGTCAGGCGATGTAACACACGCGCACTTACAGGCACACTTGCCATATTTTTTAACCTGAAGGCAAAGTTGGACTCTGTCGATGGTGAGGTGTTGTGGCAGTGTCTGACTGTAAAAAAAGTACCGAGAAAATACGTAACGCCAATCAAACCTCTTTAATCTAACTGACGCAGCCGTGTTAGGGCATAGAGAGAGTTGTCATCAGAATTGACAACAACTAGTGGTGTCTTTCAGGGATACGCATTGTCACTTTAATTTTGTTATATATGTACTAATAGATATAACTCTAGGTATGTTTGAGTTCACAGGTAATTATTTACTGGTCGGAGGTCATTTGGTTGATTTGAAATGAGCAGACGTCATTGTCTTACCAAGTTAAGATGCTGACAAAATGCAGGGTCTCCTGATCGCGTTGAGCAGAAATCTGTCTATGTTTGGTGTGTGTTTTATAGCTGTGAAATGCTGCTCCAGGATTAGTCTGTATCTGCTCCTAGTTTAACAACAGGAGTGAAGTGGTTCAATGCGTCCACCACCTAACTTACTTGGGGAGTTTCAGCAGCCTGATGAAATCTCAGCTCAGATACTTTAAGCCCGTTTGGCATTTGCCAAGATGCATTATCTCTGGTGCCTGCAAAGTATCTGACTATCTGTTGAAGGATGAGTATGCTGCGCTTCGGTTTGTTCTGTTCTATTCTATAGTTGAGAGTCATGACAGTTAAAAGTAAAATTTTTCTTTGTAGCATTGCCCGTGTACGGTGGAATTACCATGTTAGTAATGCCAAGGTCAAGTGAAGGATACTAGGCAAGGGAGGCAAATCAGTCGATGGGGTTTTGAACCTTTAGATGGCTTGGATATATGTTGCGCATGGCGAGCCACCACCTACCTCAGTGTGCAATGCACGGAGAATTTGGTTTAGGTTGGAGGAAGTTTCAGGGTGGCCAAACCAAAACAGGGCACCAGCCGATAAAATCTCTGACTGCTATTCTGAATCGTTTAAGGAAGTAGACTACGTGATTGGGGTTACCGAGACGATAGGAATCAGGGATTGAGAGCGCTTGGTGACATGGCTGAAAATCGATCACAGTGGCTTAGGTGTGTTCACTTTGATGTCTTCTATGGTTTGAATATTTTGATTGACTTTATTTTCAAATTCGCTCTTCTCCTGTACATCCTTGTCTCTTTTGATATGTGTTTCCTACCCACTGTTTCTTTTCCTACTGCTGTGGTGTGGCAACTTGAACCTATGCACTTGTGTGCTAGGTTCTACTTTGATTTTGTCTCTCTGGTAAATCATAAATATTGCTTAGTGAAAAAGGAAATTAGTTGTGAAGCTGATGTACTTTTGAATTGGGAAATAGAGCAAGCTAAAGGCGTTGTTTTGTGATTATCAGCAGAACGGGATAACATTTTGACATTAGAACAATCTCTTGTTTGTTGTGATATGATTTTCTGATAGCACATGCTGTTAGATGCTTCAGAAATACGTTTTCGAATTCTAACGAGTCCTTTTTGGGTGGTGTTTTTCAAACAAGTATTACATTCATGGTTTCTAGTCACGTGCAAATGTATACCAAGACTATAAATTTATGGGCTTTGTGCTCATTTTTTTAAACGTGTGACATTCAACCAGTGGTTTGAGAGTTAATCATCTGTTCCATCCGCTTTAGTCTCTACCCAATTTGAGCCCTACTTAGTGGTAACTCCCGCTTTAAGTTTCATAAGATTGAATGACTTTCATCTGTCCTTGCATCGACCGTTGTCTCAATAAAGCCAGTACGTTTTGCCAATTTACGTTTACTGAGTAATTGGCGTTTTACTAACACTACTTTTTGTTAATAGCAATAAAAGTTAGACTTCTCTTTCGTTAGGCTTTTTGTTTCTATTTTATCTAAAATTAGCCTATTATGCATAATGCAACGGCAGGTATTGTTGGTCGGCAGTATGTTGGAAGCGCAACAACCAAGTCAGGCGCTGAGCAAGAAGCATGCAAAGCAGCTTTAGAGGTTTGTTGTGTGAATTTATGCATATATATGTTTATGCAACAGAAAATTTCGAAAAACAGAGTGACTGGGTTACAGTAATCAAGTAGAGCTTTAGGTTTTGTATATTCATTGTTTCAGCACATCATTCATTTATTATTTAAGAGAATAAGTTGACTGGGTTGTAGCTAATTCTTGCGCAGAGTCGTTATCTCATGGTACAACATAGTTTTACGTTTTTTGATTTCTTCATGAACTGATATGTTTAATATGAACTTGTCTCATTCTTCCGAACGAGAATTTAGTATATGTTCACTGTAATGGGCATGCTAGTTTATTTATTTAGTGTACTACACTGTGATATGGAACTACCTATATACGGCTAAACATTTTAAATAACTAGTTGTTTTCAACAGATTTTGTTGCACTTTCTTCGGTAATAAATCCATGAATGAAATCGCACAAAAGTAGTAAGTAAATTTAAAGCTCACAGTTTTATGAATAGATAAAATCAGATAAGTGTTAATGTAAAAGGTGAAGGGAATGTGAAACTACTTTTTTTTAAATGGAATAAAACGAATGACCACCGGCATATTAATAATCAGTTTGATAAAATTAGTATCTAATATTAAATAGTCTGTAGTCACTCAACGGAACTAGAGCACAGAGATAAGAAATCTTAGAAAACTAGATAAGCATCTTGTGTCAACGAGTGTGAATTAATCAGTTTCTCATCCTTCGTTTGGTCTTGAGATACAGGATTATTTACTGGTTCCTGACAATTTCATGAGAAGAGATTTTACTCTTCCAACTGAAAGGTACTGTGGTAGCTTTTGACTATAAAGTATCAAGCAAGTATGGCTGGAACTTATCTAGTCGAACTGAAGGATACAGACAACATCTATGTGTTAGATCAAAAAGCTAAAAACATACATTATCTTTTGGATACCTTAAGAAAAATCGGTCACAGTGGCACAGATGCATTCATTTCTTAACGTATTCTAAGGCTTGAAAATCTGCGATAACCTTTATTTTCAAATTGGTTATCCTCTCACACAACTTTGTTTACTTTAATATCGCTCTTTTCCTATCAGATTGTTCTTTTTGTGTGGCAACTTCAGCCGATGCACTTGTGTGCGGGGCTCTACTTTGCTTTCGTCTGTCTATCTGTCGGAAGTCTTAAGATATTTGTCACACGTGAAACATAAGATGATGCTTTGCAACCAGTCAATATTAACTCCTCTTCTGAGTATAACAGGTGAAGTGTTAAAATTCAATAATAACTCGTTTGGGGTTTGCCAACCTACTCTGATTAAATATCGGATTACTTACCAAAGGTAAAGTATGCCGTAAAGCAGTTTGTTCTATCTTATTATATTAGCCTAAACATAGCACTTAAGACTGCCATGTCAAGAGACAATATGTTTTCTGTTATAGTTTTATTCGTAGTATTGCTGGCGCTTAATGTAGCTTTAGTAGAAGTTGTTTTAAGGTTGGATATAGATCGTTAGACAAGAAAGGTAATTTAGTCAATGTGATTGTAAGCTTATGTCTACTGACTTTATTGGGACAAATGTTACTTATATCAATTTCTTGTTTACCTTGATATGCTATTTTAGTTGCAATAGGATTAGGTTGGAGGAAAGCTAAGGATAACTAGTCCACAACATGGTCGCAATCCATGAAGTTTTGATCATCGATCTATGTTGTTTTGAGAATTTTTGGCTGCTCTAAGCTCTTTTCAGATGTTTTGAATTAGTAGTTGTAGAGCCGCGATTACATACTTCAAATTTGATGCTAGAGCCTCAGACATATTCTTCGCCCGCTTATCGCTATTCTTTTTTCTCTTCTTTGCCAAAGTTTCAATCAAAACAGAATCTTCTCCTTTTTGCATCTTCTCCAAGAATACAACTGATCCCATCCCATGAAAGCGTAAAGATTCTAATACAGCCTCCAAAGATATCACATGTTACATTCAACTTGCAACAGCTTTAGTTTACTGAAACTATGTTCCTGTAAAGTTTTTTGCATTATGGAATGAATCAAATCATTTTGAATTAAATTGAAATTAACTTATGTATACAGTGACCATATTTTTTGTTTTTGGTAATATTTTAAGTAAAGATACCGCTAGAGACCACACTAATAGTTGTGATTTTAGCCTGAAAAACATGAATGAAATCGTATGAATACAGTAATAATGATGGAAAATCGTCGAGAATTCTTAGGCAAACGGGAGATAAAAAGGTATTCTAAGTTATAAATGTTTTCAGTTACTTTTTTCAATGATACATTAAGAAATAAAATCGTATTAATACATAGTCTTATCTTTAATAGTGATAGTGTCATGTAAGTAGTCAGTGGATGCAAATGAATCTTTCTAATAAAAAAGTTTCTATACGAATTGAGCACTTTCAATAATCATTTTATTGGACTGTATTGGTTTAACCGATGAATAAATAATATTGATTGTTACTAACTGTGCTTTAGATAGTTTAAATAAATAAAAATGTTCACATCTCAGAGCGTTAAAAGAACTAGAATCCTCTCTAAAATGACCAGTTCCCTTTATGAATTTTGACAGTACAACAATTCGATTTTATGTAATGTATTTGTGCCACAAATTTTGAACAGTCTAATTATACAGCTGCTCACTTCGGGTATATATCTGAAAGATAACTGAAAATCAACGAAATATTGACTTCAAAGGGTAATAAAACTGATGGTACTACCTTCTCTTGCATAACATTCACTGTGAGTAAAGTAATTCAAATTTATTAGTTTTTCGTATGACTTTAGCGTTCCTATTTTGGAAGCTTATTGTGTAGCATACTCATTAAAACATACTTTTAGTATGTTCACTGAGTGATGATTGAAGATGAAATGAAAATTCAGACCGTGGCCGGATTCGAACTAACAACCAACGGGATAACCGCCCGGTGTTCTATCAACTGAGCTACGAGATTCGACTGCTGACCAGATTTTTACTTCATTTCAGTCACTAGGGGTCTTTCCCGACTACCATGTGAATTTGTGACGCGTTGCTATCACTTGGTCGTAGTATTAGTGCATTTGTAACTGGTGCATATTTTAACATTGTAGTAAAAGTAATTCTTACCATTATTCTTTTCTTATTCGTGTTTAGGCGCTACGTAGATCTCTTTTGTCATATATTAAAACACAGCAAATGAAGAGAAAGGGAGCAGATAATTTTGATAGATGTGTTGATCATTTTATTCATCCAAAGTCACCAGTATGGCGATTACGTATTCTTGCCGGTCTACATTTTACTCATCCCTACTTTAAGGTTAGACTGTAGTAAATTTTTAATGCTCTCTGTGTTTGAATTTTAATGCACTTGTAATTAGTGTTAGATAAACAGGAAGCTCTATCGAATACTTTCAACCGTCTAACATCAGTCACATTGTACTGTAAAGCTGAGTCTTCTAGCTTAGTGACCATATTGCAAAAAAGATCAAAATCTAGTCAACACTTAGAATTACGTAACACAAAGTCGGTTACTGTTTGGTGAATAATATACTCTGTTGGTTAGCACGACTCTTAATTCCAACTCTGTTGAGATTTATATTTTACAAAAGGCGTTACAAACGAAGGAAAGAGCCTAGTTTATCTGTAGTGTATAAGAAGGGGCATACTTAGTATTATTTCCCAACTTAAGAGTGTTCAAGTGTTTGTTCCATTTTATTTGGTGTGCTTGAATGTTTATTACTTGGTATAAGTTCATATGGCCCAGTTTCCAAATACTCCAGTGATTTCTTTTCATAATCTTCTTTACCCAGCACGACCGTATCATTGCCTTTGTCTGCTTTAGTTATGACTATTGATTTGTCAGACATTAAAGTTTTTAAAACTATTCGTTCCGCCTTCGTTAAGTTAAAAGCGACGGGCTTCTGATTTGCTATGATAGTTCCGACTTCATGACGTATTGTATCCCCTTCTTTCTGTATAAGGAATAGAAGTGGCTCCATAATTGGGGCTAATTCCATCGTTCTTAGAAGCTTTCAGGACAAGTGCCAACTGTGTAAGTTACTCAGGCAAATCTAGTTCTCAAGTCCAACCAACCTTACAGCAGTGTTCTCATCGATCATATTTTAATAATAGACGTTGATTGTTCAATGAAGAAACTTTCAGTCCGTGCCCAAATCAACCTGGTTGTGATAGGAGATGGGCAAAATGTGGGTGTCTTTCGCCCTTGAGGCTCGTCGGTGATCTCTCAGGATAATTATCATCCGCAGAAAACTTCTTCCAGAAACTGTACTTAACTAGATATTTTCCACAACATTGGCAGTATGCTTGTCATTACATTAATCTGCTTCTAATTGTTGGCCTTAGTAAAAGTTAGGATATCTATTAGGGTGTGTACCTCTGGAATTCGTATCGGTTTTGAAGTATTTATCGGTAACCTGGGATGCTCTGCAGTCTAGAAGTACTAAGTTTCAATTTTGATTCCATACTTCAGTTTCATAGTATTGAAATAACTGTTCAGCTACTCAAGAAACCAGTCGTAAAATCTTGTTTTGAGGTTACAACGGTGTCTTCCACATACTTGCATTATATTCTTAGTCGGATGCTATGTTATTAGAATGAATCTGGTTCTAAATATTGCATTCAAAAAGTAATCGTGGGTTAGATCAGTAAGCTCAAAACTAGATCAAAGATGTTTTAGTTTAAAATTTCCCTCAGAAGGTGGAAAGCGTCGAAGTTACTCGAAATTCGATAGCATTACAGATGTCGACGCCAAATGGATTACATCTAGGTCTAGATAATGGAGTCATATTGTAATAAAGATTTAACCACTTTAATGTTTTATTGAACTGGAATATTTGTATATAGATAAGTTACATAAAAGTCTCGGGGCTGTTGAAGAATATTTCCAGTCCAGAACTAATGTAACCAAGATATTAGGTTTGTGAATTTCCAGATTATACAGACATGAAAGAGTGGGTATATACTTGATTCACCACAATATCTCATCGTTTGACATTGCAACAGTGTGCAATTGACTTCACACGCACATGATGCTTTATGAAAAGCTGACATAATTCACCACTGAACGATGTGAATAGTTAGAAAATTCTGTAATTAAACAGCTTTATTTATAACTTTTTGCATAAAATGGCTTAATATCGGTAAAAGGTTGTGATTTCCAGGAAATAGGGAACAATCAGAAATGTATGTGGTTTCGACTTTCTCAGAAGCACAAAAGTAGTGCAGATCCTTAGCCAACGCAAGACTTATGTTGTGTGAAAGTTTGAAAGAAGATCAAGATTTCTTAGAAATCATCTTTCTCTTACAAGAAAGATGATTGGTGGTTTCATTGGTAACTGAGTTAATAATGTGGTGAGATAATAAGTTTAAACATTATTTAAAGTCTTCTCTTAAGAAATGTTTCAAGTCTATGTCCATCTTACCACAAAATGAGTTTTCGTCTTTTTTGTGGAGAAATATGCAGCATGACTTAACAGAGACTTAACTACTGACTTGACATGTGTACGAAAGGTGTAAGTGATCTGACCAATTCCTCTGCGATTTAGCCTCAATTGCGAGTAGTAAAAACAAAAATCATTCTTTTTTATCAGTTGGTCTTTCTGTTTCTGCTATCTGTTGCTGTATGAACCAAAAGTAATGGACTTTTTCAAATTTAATTAAAGAAATAGCTATTAGTTGTATTTAAATAAAGTCAATTAAATTGATCATTTTCACTAGCGTGGTGCTGATAATGCTTCTGTTATAATCTCTGTTTATTATTAGATCAAAAAGTCAACTGATTGTGAGCCATACGGATTTACTTGTACATGTGTGTTAGATGGTTGGAAGTCTACTGAAAGTTGGTCTACATCGACAAAGAAAGCTCAAGATGCTGCTGCTCAATCAATGTTGAATAATTTAAATCAGATTGAGAGTAAATGTTCAACAGTTCAGTTGTTTAGTGAAGCATTAGATACTACACCAAAGTGTTCACGTACAAAAAATACAAAATTATGCAAAGTATGTTGTTTTTGTAGCGATGCATTTTACTGAAGGTTTTAACGTTATAAAAGACAGATAGTTAAACAAACATATGGTAGTACTTGGCATAAATGACTATTGGCTGCAGTTACCGCACTGTATAGTAGCACAGCTAAGGTAAATAGAGAAGAGGAAAACAAAAGGGATGGTACAGTAATATAGACAGTGATAAGTAAAGCGAGAAAAAAGTAGTTAAGAGATATAGGGCCTTAAAGTCATCAAGAATCACAGAACGATAAGGCATGAATACTGACACTAGAAGATTCCAAGCCATATCACCTCATGTCTCTCACCATCGATTTGAATCATCGTGTGCATCCTGACCAGGACATTCTTATCTTTGCACACAAGCCAAAATAACAGTTAGAAGCCTCATAGACTAATACCGTATAACGACTCCTTACTCGATGTTCATTTTACCCTATAGAACAATGGATAATGTATACTTGTAACTACCTCAGTTAAAAGAAATTTCGAATCTTGATAATTAATTTTGCTTCTTTATGTAGAACTGTACTGTGGTGTTGAAGATTTTGCATTTCTCCAATATTATGTGCTTACTTTAAAGTAATTATTTATTGATCCATAACAACTCTAATCTCATTAATGTCTAAGAAAGAGTATTCTTATCTTTTCTCACAAACTTCATTCAGAAACTATTCGAAGTAGTTAAAAGGGTAATTATCCGACTCTCGTATCCTCCTTATACCTCGGTCAATGTAGTCAATGGTCCTGCATCATTGTTTTTAACTAGAAAGACTCGTTAATTTTAGGCTGTGTTTGAGAACTGATTCCTTTGTTCAACCTAACCTGCAGCTGCATAGTTTTTCAACTTGTGGGTAACTGGAGATCAGGTTAATTAAATCTCAAAGTTTTCTATCCATCCTATCAGTCACCTATTCTCTTTGGTTACGGTTGTGGTGATGCGAAGAATAATTCTTCGACATCGTTCACTGCCTTCTTAAGTAGTACATAACAACCTTTTCCCAATTTCTTTCGTACTCAGTTCATTTTTCTCTCCTTTGGTTGCTTTTCTCTTTTAGTGCCTCTTAATAGATCCGTTAACTTGATATAATGCACTCTATGCAAAGTTCTACTCTATCATGTTTCCTTGCCTCTCTTTCAAGAAATGAATTGTGTTACTTGCAGTTGCACACTATTCTTCATCAGTCAGGTTTAAGTTGATTTAGATAGGAATGCGATTCGCGGTGTTGTATTTCTACTACAGTTCAGCATGTGTTTAACAAAACAGGTCTGAAAGGCAATTAGAAATTTTTCAGTGACTGTGGTATACCATACACAGATGATCTTATGTGTACATTGTTGTAGTCATTATAAAAGACAAATTTTTCAGACGGAAAAACGGAAAATAAGTGTATTAGAGTTGTCGACAAGTTTTTATGTTAGTCCTGCAGTATAGTTTTAGTGTGAGAATCCATTTAGCCGTTTATTGTAACAACAAATTACTTTTCGGTGGTTATGTTATAACAAATTGTTATAACAGGAAATAACTTATCAGCTTTTCACTTGATGCATTGTAATAAATGGCACAATCATATGAACCTTTTTTAATTGAATAACTCCTGATGGCCATAAGTCACTCACTGAAGTGAATGACGAATTGACTATGAGCAAGTCTTTCCTTACGCGTTATGCTTGCGCAATCATATATATGACTTTTCAGATGATTATAGCCCAACAATATTAGAAAAATACTCAGTAAGTACATCTAGGATAGAGAATAAACAACATATTTTAAAAACAACCGTTACTTCTGAAACGTGAATTTGTGCTTTCATACTCTTTTTCCGTTAACTGTTCGAAACTGTTTTATCGTTTCATGTTCCACTTTTTAAATGGGTCAGTTACACTGACTGAGGGTTTCACTCGTTTTTTGTCGCTGAATTAGTGCACCCTGCAGTCTTTCACGTTGGAACACTCATCTTGTGGATTTCTATCAATTCTGCAAGGAGTTCAACATTTTGACAATAGTGAGATAGCCGTTATGGGTTAAGAACTTGAAATAGCAGTTTAATCATAAACACTGTCATGTTATCTACACCTACCTTGATGGTGGTAAATATCTTCTATCTGTGCTATCTGTATTTATCTTTGAACCGTCATTGTTAATTTCAGACCAAGGTACAATTCAATCATAATCGGGCTTTTGATGAATCAGTACATCCTGTTTGTAGACTGGAGTGTTTTCGAGCTTCAAAAAACTTGGATAAAGTGAGATATATTCTGTTAAATGAACAGTCAGAACATGGGATGCATCCATCTTTGGCACCCTGTCGACCACCGTTTGTTTACAAGGTTAGTTAGTGTAGAACTGGGGATTTCCTATTTTCATTTTTTGTTTCTTAATTGTAAAAGCTTTTAAGCCTTCACCGCTAGTCTTTTAGTGCATATATTTGTTGATGTAACATCTACCTTGGAATTCCGAGGTAGTCTAAAACCAAACGGTTGAGTTATGAGTAAATCCTCGGAGTCAAGATATATGTTTTACTTTAGTACGATACTATTATGACCATTATGATTACAAAATAAACAAGAAGTATGAATACTATTATTTTCAATAACTTCTCTTCAAATTCTATGGTTATAAAATGGGATTGTTCGACAGATTGCGTATAGTGCATATAGTAGAAAGTTGAATGTGATGGTACATAGTGCCAAACGAATGCTGAGTAATCAACAAAGCTGTATTAACATCTATGTGGTGCCCTGTTTCCATCAGGCGTGCCAAGATAGTACTTCTCTTCTAGCTTATCATGCAAAGGTTGAAGTAATTTTACTAGCCGTTTTGAGGTCGCCCGGTAAAGTCGTGTCTACGATAGAATGAAGAGGCACCTCAGGATTGTGTACTTTCTGCAGGTCATACATCTATGGAATCGTGCTGCTTTCAGGTTTCAAACTCCAAAATGTAGAAGAAAAAATGTATCCATTGTCTTTTGGTTTCTTTAGTGAGGCAATTAAATCCTTTTCTACTTTGTCGGTTAGGTCTTTCGTTTGCTGTGGTTTCCGAAATGCATTAACATCCTGCAATACTAGAGCCGTTTTGCATACATAATAGATCACTTGTATAATTATAACTCGAGTCCCTTTATCCGGTCTAGTGATGATGTTCTTATTTATTGTGAGTCTTTCCAGAGTCTTACGATACTCTCTTAGCAGTATACTCCTTGAAATATTCTTTTTGTTGTCACGCGGATAGCAGTAGTCCACTAGATTTGATTTAAATCCTTCAAATTTAATTTTGCGACACTTTTACACAAATTAATCAAATAGATATGGTTTAATATTTGGAGCAGCTTTTCCAACAAACAACTGATTCGGTCACTCTTATTGTGGAATTTGAAGGATTTAAATCAAATCTAGTGGACTACTGCTATCCGCGTGACAACAAAAAGAATATTTCAAGGAGTATACTGCTAAGAGAGTATCGTAAGACTCTGGAAAGACTCACAATAAATAAGAACATCATCACTAGACCGGATAAAGGGACTCGAGTTATAATTATACAAGTGATCTATAATGTATGCAAAACGGCTCTAGTATTGCAGGATGTTAATGCATTTCGGAAACCACAGCAAACGAAAGACCTAACCGACAAAGTAGAAAAGGATTTAATTGCCTCACTAAAGAAACCAAAAGACAATGGATACATTTTTTCTTCTACATTTTGGAGTTTGAAACCTGAAAGCAGCACGATTCCATAGATGTATGACCTGCAGAAAGTACACAATCCTGAGGTGCCTCTTCATTCTATCGTAGACACGACTTTACCGGGCGACCTCAAAACGGCTAGTAAAATTACTTCAACCTTTGCATGATAAGCTAGAAGAGAAGTACTATCTTGGCACGCCTGATGGAAACAGGGCACCACATAGATGTTAATACAGCTTTTATTGTGATATACTGTGGTCCAAGCACATTACTATGGGTGGCTTGCCAGTTTCTTTTACTCATAGCTGTACCAGGGGTGAGAAGAAGAACTTATACGCTGAATTGTCAACTTGCCGGACACAAATATGCTCTTGAGAATCTCTACGTGCAATTTCGCGGATGAAACATGAAAGTTCTCTCTCTTAAAAATACTACCCACTAGTAATAAGTAGTTTAAAGTTGAAACCATTAAATACATGCGGTTAACCTCAAGATAGGAGAAAATAAGTTGGAGTATGGAAGACTTAACCACTGCTATATGATGCTTATTTGATAGTTTGATTGAAATTAAAACTTTGTATATTTCATGACTTTGGTGATGAGACTGGAAATAATTCTTGATGGGGAAGACTTGTTCACTGTTTGTATTAAGTGAATACTTACTAAATCGTTTGCGAATCGCTTTAACCGATCATTGTTTTTCATGGCCTAGCCTAGTAGTATGAACTATATTTCTGTTGCAAATCGTTTTATCCAAGTCACAACTTTTGAAGTCTGTCAATAAACTGTCACTAGCCGTCGAAATATACTACTAAACATTATGAGCACTTTAGTTATTACTCATTGTTACTTATCTTTGCAACGTCCCTACTTAGTAATAATGTGCACAGTGTCGAACCTCTCATATCGTTCACTGGTGCACTTGTACTTCCCATCTTTTGAATTTATCTACTGATAGAAACCCGCAATTCTAATCTTACATGTCAGCTACCTGTATTTAGTTTTATTCCGTACATAAGAAGAATATTCTTGTTATCGGGTCACAGTTAAAGTAGATAATTTTCTTTTCTTTTTCCTAAGCACAATACTAAGTGATATATTTGATCCAAGCTGTTTATCACTAGTTAGTTTTTTTCTGCTTCCTAATTTTAATTCATCTACTTGTCTGCTGTGAAAACGGTTCTGAAAGCAAGTGGATATGCTCTTAAGATGTAAAATCAACTCATCGATTCCTCATACGTTTACGTATTCGATTTTTTTCTGCATCTCTAGTGTGGAAGATCACAATACTTCCTAATTATTCATTTTGAAATGTAGTATATTCATAATCTCTGACTGTGTTCCAGTAACTACGTCATGAGTACACTTAATTGTATAGGAAACAATAATATCTGCGGACTTTTTCTTATCATGAATAAACTAATCAAATAATAACTTATTCAATGACCACCACCTTGCGTTAAGTCAAACTATGGTGTAAGGAGTATATATTCTGCTACGGACGAAGTTCAACTTCGATTACTGGTTTTTTTTTTAATGAGTTAGCTTCATCTACTTTTCCAAACATCTGGACACATATTCTAAGTTGCAGAATGAATAAGTTCATATTTTTGAAGTGCTGAAAATTTAAATGGAGTAGCCCATTAGTTCTTCCTGTTATTCATTGAATCGCTAAAGTATGCTATTTATCAAATGAATAAACAAGATTGATATTTTCCATATTATTTGACCTTTAACCTGATCGAACGATATGGTCCTTTTTCGTATTGATTGTAGTCTGATCTTACAATACATTTTCACATACGAAATAAGCAGACATTTTCAATTGATATCATCTTACTGTTCTACGGAAATATCGCTAGAAAGCTATTTAAAAAGTAACGATACACTGATATCTACAATTTTTGTACATTTCTGTAATTGATGCACTCGTGCAATTTAATGAGTCTATCCGTAGGACAGATGGTTCCATAACTGACTTGCAGAATACAGGACTGAAATAGTGTGTAGAACTCAGTAAAGATTAGTTCAAACTTCCTCTCACTACCTTTCAATGACCAACTATCCAATTGAAGTATGAATAGCGATAAGATACATGGATTTCGAATATTGGTAATGTTGAAAAGTCAGTAAATAATCTGAAATGGGTAAAGGTAACGCCTCATAATAGACTACTACCAATTGTATTTAAAGATTCCAACTAAGATTTCCGGATAGACTAATTAAGGTACCTGTGTGTGAAACTCTAACATGTTTCTCTCCAAATGGTAACAAACATTGGTTGTACTTCGAGATGGAAATGTTTTCTTGAAGAATCAACCTAGCTGACCTAGTGTTTTTGAAAATCGACATCGTTGGAGTTAGGCAGGCTTCAGACGTGGTGGTGGGTGGATCGACCTGGTCTTAGAACACAGGTATATTTACCAGCGCTCTATTTTGGGTGTATTTCTCGTTCTGGAGGTGACATTTAAATTTGTTGGTGAAATTCTTGTGTCTTTTGCTGTAAATAATATCTACGGATTGCATTACCTTATTGCATCCCCTTAGTTAAGTAATTGTCGATGCGTCACTGCTTCTTTTAGTTGCTTTTTCTTTCTGGAGTTCATAAATGAAGATCTCACTTCTAGTCGTTTTTAAACAAACCTAGATTACACAGAGTACATAGTCCTCTTAGATTAAGACTCCGAAGAAACACACAATTTGCTGGACACCACAACAGAATTTTGTGGGTATCACTTTTTTTTATCTACGAAATGTTGCGTTGTAATTTGTCTACACTTACGTCCAGTTAAAAAAAAATTTATCATATTTGTTGAACGTGTTACTCACTTAGTTTTTAGTGAATAGGTTGAGGGTTGAAAAAATGTTAGTTCAGACAACATATTCGTCTTGGGACTTGTCAAATTCTTCATTATTTGGCTTCTGCAACGTAAATCGTTTTGAAACTTGCTATCTACACACTCGAACTTTCAAACTGTTGATTTCTCTTATACAACTTGGCATTTGACGAAATTCACTTAAGATACTCGGAGTGCTTATGACTTGTATGCCTGAACGTTCAATCAAACACTGGAGTTAACCCATTCGATCACTGGGAAAGAGAGATAATCGTAGTGAAGGAAATTTTTCTTCGTTTTGACAAACTCATTCTCTCGGGTTATACTTTCATGAAATAATGATAATCTTCAGCAAGCGGCAAAGTACGCTAGATACTAAAAGAAAATAAATATGCATAGATTTAAAACAGGAAAGCAAACAGATTAAAAAAATGAAATACCATTGGATCATATGCGAGTTATCTCAATTGGTACATCCTCCACAATGAATATGAAAAGAATGAAGGTTGCAAGTGCTTCTTTTAAGGCACAGACAGTTTGCACTTTTGAATAATTAACGCTTCAGCAATGTTATATGCCAACTAACGCAAAAATAGCGATTCGAATAGCAACTTCTGGCAACTTCGTATTTCGCCACTTTCTCATCAGCTTCTTACAATCTGAAATATATAAATGTTGTATTCCAGAAGTATTTGACAGGGTTTTTGCAATTAAATGAAATTAGTTAGCAGTAATCCACATAGTATATTTCTTTACTAACTATGCTGTCATGTTATTCTGCTACAGTGATTGTTTATCCGTTTTCACAAAGGGGAATAGGTATATGATTAATCAGAGGTCCTATTCTTTCTCGTTTGATATGGCTGAGGCTCAATCTGTGCAAAATTTTAACAGGATTGTCAAAACGGACTGAGCCTTCTGTTACAAAGCCGAAGATACATTTTCATTATCCCCTTATCAGCTAGGTTGGATAAATTTCAATGAAAAAAAAATAAAAAGACGCAATGCAATATTCCTAATCTGCAAATTCTTACTGTCGTCTAAATCCGGTTACCATATTTAGTTTTGTTTGATCATTATTTTAAGAAATCCTCCCGTTTATGTTTATTTCAACTCCTAGATAGAGTTTATGGATATATGTATTCAAGGTCCTGAAGCAAATAATAAACGCTTGGCTAAACGACTTGCTGCAGAATTATTACTTGCAAAACTAAAACTATGTAATCAGGAGACACCTAGAGTTAAAAGTGTTCTTCGAGCATCAATCACCTCATCACCATCCACTAATCATGATAAAAATGATATTTCAGAAAATCTTCTCTATGGTAAGTTGTTCATGTTCTCAACACTTTTATATACATTATTATTATTTGTCCCTTGAGTTCCTAGTGGAACATAGGGATTCAGTAGCACGTCTCCATTTCAGTCTCCTCTCTGAGGTCTTCTGAACCTGGCTCCACTCTACCAAGAAGCTTTCATTTCTTCCTCACATGATTTCCTCCATATCACCCTCGGACGCCCAACTCGAGGGCCTGGCCTGGCGCTTGATGTTCCTAAACCGTCTTCTCAGTGTATATCCAATCCAGTCCCTCTCCACCTTTTTCTGAATATTTGTTGGCCGATGGGTTCTTGGGCGGTTCGTTGCCAGCCAGAGTTCCTTTTTGCTCATTCTTATTCTTTCTAGCCATCTGATCTTCAGTATTTAGTGAGCGTAGACGGCAGCTGTTGATGAATGTCTGTAGTTTGTTGGAAATGCTTTACGTGACGCGCCAAGTCTCTGAACCATATAGAAGCGTTCACTTGCTTGAAATTAGTGTTCGAAATCCGGATCTTGTTCTTTATGCTGAGTGGAGTGCAGTAGATCTCCACACTGATTTCAGAATAATGGAGGCCTGTCCTGCTTTTCCGATCTTGGCTTTGACATCCTCGTCTGCACCGCCACCTGTAGTTGAAACGATGCTGCCCTGGCTAGGTAGGTTAGAGAGACTACTTGCTTTAGGTTTCTTCCATTAATGTTGATTGGTGTTTGTTGTTGTTGGTTGGGCATCACCATCACCTCTGTCTTCTCTATATTCACTTGAAGTCCCATGTTCGCTGCCCCACCTCTTCTGTCAACTTGTTTATTCTTCTATGTAGATCTTTGACTTTGTGCGATATTAGACACAAATCATCACTGAAATCCAAGTCTTCTAGAGTCTTTCATCGGTCCAGCCAGCGTATGTCCCTCTTCCCGCTCCTCACTGTTTGTTGCATGATCCACTCCACCACAATCAACAAGATCACGGGTGATAGTAGACAGCATTGTCTTACTCCTGTCCTCACTTCAAAAGCATCACTGAGCTGAGCTTCCCATTGTGAATTACTTGACATGTGGCGTATTCGTATGGCTGTTGAATGAGGTTGATAAGGGTTTGTGGCAGTGAAACCGTAGTGTTGAAGCAGCTGTCTGACAAATTACTTCTCGGTCGACGCTGTCGATGGCCTTTTCAAAGTCGATGAATTTGAGGTGAGGTAGAGAGTTGACTGTCGTTCTATGCTCTGTTCTATGATGATGCGTAGGGTAGCGTTGCAATTTGATATGCATGGTGATCTGTACTTCCTGAAGCCAGCCAACCAGCCTGTTTCGGTGGTAATTTTGGATTCAGTGCATCCTTTAGTCTCTCTAGGATGATGCGGCTTAATATTTTACTTGGAGTGGACAGCGGCATGATTCCGCGCCAGTTCTTGCAAAGACTTAGGTCACCCCTCTTTGGGAGTTTGACAAGGTAGCCCTTCTTCCAATCTGCAGGTGCCTTTTCTTACTTGCAAACCTCCTGCAGTAGTGGTGTGAGCATGTCCGTTGTTGTCTCTGTGTCTCTTTTCAGTACTTCTGGCGGGATTCCACCTGGTCCTGTTGCTTTTCCAGATTTCAGCAACTTTATGGCGTTCAGGACTTCACTTCTGCTTTTGTCGGAGAACTTGTGTTCACTGGTAGTTCTGTGACTGGGCTGCTGGTGGTATTTCGCACGGGTTGCAGGTGGTGGTGCTGGCCTATTCAAGAGTTTTTAAAGTGGTCAGTCCATTGTTTCTTTTGTTTCTCCTCTTTGCCAACTTGGTTTCCTTCACTATCTCTCATTAGTTTCATTTGTGTTGATCTCTTTGCCAGATGGTAAGCTAGTTATTTCATATAATGTTATCAGGTCTCTATCTCTTCTACATCCAGCCTGTTTTGCTTCAATTGCAGGTGTCGTGGAAGTGTCTTCTTGTTTGCGCGCATTCTTCTTCACTTCTTTGTCCAGTGTAGTGTTTTGTAGGCTGTATTCAGTTCCTCTTTTCGTTGTTCATCCTTACACTGCTTTTGCTTCACCATCTCCCTCTCCTCTATCAGCTTTCATGTGTCCGGGGAGATCCGTTCCTTGTCCTGTTTCTTCTTCCTTCCTAAAACAGTTATGCAGCTCTCCTCCTACATAGCTTTCAAAGAGTTCCAGTGTTCACCCACACATGTTTCTTTAGGAACGTAGCTCAATGTTTCCGATTTTGTCCTTATGACTGACTGACGTGAAGACGTCCTTTATAGTTTCATCCTTCGGTTTCTGTTCCGTGTGTTGAACTTGAACTGTGTGTGGTCTATCACCAACTTCTTTAAAGACTTCCAACTGATTTTGAGGGCGGGTTCCTTGCACTAGATAGTGGTGTGAGTGGTGTTAGCCTACATCTGCTCCTCTTCTTGATCTGATCTTGTGTCCAGTAGGCTGCGTGTCCACTTTCTTGAGATTGAGACAAAGTTGATCTGATTTTTAGTTTGTCCTGGTGTCTGGTGAGATCCATGTGGATTTGTGAATATCCTTGTGTCTGTACACACTACCTCCAATCACGAATTCGTTGGATGCACAGAAGTCTGCAAACAGTTCTCCATTCTCATTTATCATTTCACCGAGCGCCTCTCTATCCATGATGAGTTCTCTTCCTGTGTTGTCTACTCCCAGTTTGATATTCATGTCACCTATTAGAATTTTGGTGTCACCAGCTATATTCTTGTCCAATACTGATTGATGTTGTTTATAGAATTGGTCCTTCTTCTCTTGATCCGCATTATTTGTGGGTGCGTAGTGTAGCATTGTATGATAATGACTTTCCCTCCTTTTGGGCTGAACCTTGCTGTCATGATCCTGATGCTGGTGGAGATTGGTTCCCACTACTTGAGAGCCTTTGATGCTCCTGGGGACATCATGACAGCAACTCGAGAACTCAGTGTGCTTTTGGTTGTCGTCTAGGTGACAATATCGGAGTAGATTGTTGACTCCTCTCCAGTTGACAGTTTGGAGAGTCCACTTTAATTCCATTTGCTTTCGCAGATTCTTAGCTTGGTACTTCTGTGCTATACCTTCCCATGTCTTTGGGAATCTGGTCTGCCTTGCTAGGTTCAGACTTGGTGCGGATATTCCATGTCCCCACGTTTACTTTCACACTCATCGAGAGAGAGAGAGAGAGGGGACTTATCGGTCAATTGGCTTCCCGAGGGCTTTCACCAACTGGTGTCATTTCGTCTCCCCGATTCTAGCAAGGAATAAGTTTACTTTTATTTTCTGTATGTTCTTTGTGCTTTGAAGTTTCTTTGGGGATTTGATTGGTTTTCCGGGGTGGTGTTGGTGGCTTCATGTCCAACCTTCCCCTTTGTCCGGGCTCAGGACTGGCTAGAAACTAGTTAACGAGTCAACTAGGCGTGTATATTATTGTAAGGCTACTTGTTCAAAAAGGTTGCTTTGGTTGCATACTGCATCTAACTATCATCGATGTGAGGTATTGAATCATAGTTTTCTTACAGTTGATTCAATCTTTATGGGATTTGTATCTGTTGCGTCGTACGAACTTAATGAATCATTGTGCTTGTATGCGTTTAATAACTTGTATACATTGTTATTGTGCCGAAATAATATAAGTTATTTGTAACGCGAATAATATGCCACAGTTATTGACCGTTAATCTCTGTAATGTGTAGTGCGCTTAAGCAGCCAGTATTCAAAGAAACCCAATATTAGCTTGTACTCAATTTACGTCAATCTCTGGAAGCCTAATATGTACAAACGTCACCAGGTAAAACTACGGATTATTGACCTGTTGCTCTCCGAAAGATGATACACAAGATATGTAACACAAAATGGACATGCTTGTTTGCTCTCCGAAAGTAGTCAAAGCTCACTGATCTGCCATTCTGTCACTATTGGGCTGTAAGATTGAACTAATTATACAGATGATGAAAGTAAAAGTTCTGAACATAGTAACCATTCCATAATTACCAACAAAAGTTAAAATAATCAATAAACAAAGAGAAAAAGAGTTGATAGAATCCAGATATTGCTAAGTCTATGTGCGTGACTATTTTCTCTTATTTATCTTCGTTGTGCTTTGTGACTTCTGTAACACTTTAATTTGGCATCATGTATAATCAGGCAATATGCCTTTGCTTGCCCACATCTTGTTTTATTAACAACTCATTGCCTTAAATACACAAACTCTGATAGTTTAAAGAAAAATATTTTCGATTCAGTTTTCAAGCCTTTTGTATTTCTGTCTCAACAGTTTTCTTTCTATGACATTAGTGTTTTAGTTGTTACTATTTTAATCTATTTAGTTCGCCTATTTAAACCTAAAGTAATAATTTCGGCCAGTTTAATCTTATAAATTCGGTATATCAGTCAATTAGTCTTTTTACAGCAAAGTAACGAAAATTCCCCTACCTTCTATTCTACCTTCAAACCCTACTTAACGTGATTTACTTTTTGGTGGCATTGATAATTGCGAAAACATTAAGTCTAACTTTTTCCCTACGAAAACTAGATATTACTGCATTGCCGGAAATCAGTGACAGTGAAGAAAAGTCAATATCTACGACTGATAAATCAAACAACCTACAGCATCATACTGTTGTTAGTGAGGTAAGCCGGTTGTATTTCATCATACCTTTTCTGTAAGTCATATTATTTTTTTTAGATGTTTGCTTACTACCTTCTGGCTTGACTATAACCACTGATGAAATATAATGTTAGTTCAGCACTCAGTTTGTGCGTATTATCAACTTCTCTGTTCATATGACAAAAATTGTGTTATGACTATTATCAAATGCTATTGGTTAACCAATGAGTTTAAGCCGTGAATATCAGAACCAATTTTCAAATAATATATCACATCCCATATTGCTTTGAGGGTGATAACCAATACCATGTCATACAATCCATTTGGGGTATTCCTCTTGAAGTAATCGTTTGATATTGTCGTCTTCAAATTAGCTTGGAAAGATTTTCCATTTATTACATTTTTACATTTGTCAGCATCTAAACAGTTTCATCATTGAAGTTCAGGAATGTGGTATACAGTTTATAGATACCCAAATCAACTTAAGAATTGATTATTTAAAAAAGTTAGACATTAGGTGAATTGTATTTGTCATTGTGATATTTGTACTTCTCAATAAATGAAACTATTGTTTTCCGAAAGTATAACAATAATTTTCTGTGCATCTTACATAACTATTATCAAAAGTCATATATTTTACTATCGGGTTGATGTCTGTAGACCAAATATTTGTCCCTATTTATGCTTATCATTTAGACCTACCAGAAACAGGTATTTATTAGAGCAGGGTAACAAAAGTCATGTGAGACTTTTACGTAGCTGGCTTATGATTCTAGTTGTTTTCTTAACTGGTTTCACCTGCCATAGTTGTTCAATAAGTTTTACGCCTGAACATATAGCTCGTTAGCTTAAGGAGTTAACTTTCCCCCAGTGGGTCGCAGACTCGAACGCCATTCTGCCTACCGAAATTTGGACAGCCAAGTATTGCTAAACCTCAAACGATAGGTGTGGTTCATTGCCTACTGCATGAATGTACACAAGGTTACTAAGTAGATTTCGGTTGTCGATTCGACGTTTGATCATTTAAAGAAGACTGGATAGCTTTTTGTAAAGCTTTTTTTTGGCATTACTTGGACTGAACAATGTACAAAAACACAGTATATGATTTTACTTAATACGTAGATATCTATAAGTGTAGTGGTTAGTGCCCGTGTAGCTTTTTAAATATAGGGGTGACATGGTTTTAAGTGCAGGTTACTCACATTAAAATCATAATCGATTCTTTTGATTTTCGTCCGTAAATGAGGTTGATTAAGGTGGATTGACAGTAAGATTTTGCACAAACTACCAGCTGTTAAGATTAACGGGGTCTGTTGATTAGCTTTCACCACCATTTTGTGACTGAAACGAGACTTAAACACGTGGCGATATATCGGCATATTGTTTCCAACCGGTAGCATCCTACGAGATATCTCAGTTCGAGATAACAAATAGATCAACTTCTGTTTGGCAAAGACTACATAGAATATGGGTTTGAACTGAAATCGTGCTGTATTTTAAGCATATTTGCCTTTGAGTTGCTAGTTTGCATTTTATCGGAAAGCCGTAATTGAGATGGTTCTGGACAGTCATCTATGCATTGTGATAGGTCACATACTTAGTGGGCGTCCCCATAATGTCGGTCTGCTTTATTAACGTATATATTATGCCGAACCGTAACATATCATTATAGTCATGGTTTTAAAAAGTTTCATTCGAACTGAAAAGTGTCAAGAGACTTTTCTTGATTTATTTCTGATAACATGAGAAGCATAAACGTTTAGTTGTCATTAATTTTGGTTTGTAAAAGCTAAGGATATAGGAAAATGAGCCGGTGTTGATCGATACTTGTTCTAGCACATCAAATCGAGTGAAGTATTATAAACATGTCAAGATATTATTATAGAGGGATTTATTATTAGCCTGCATTCTTGTATTATATAAATTTATGTTGTTTTTCAATACTGCAAGTGATCTTCATGTCAGATTAATCATTCAATTGTCTAAATGTTCATCATCTTTTCATTAGGTTATACATCGAACCTGTTATCCAATGATTTTATGATTAGTGATGTACAGTAGTATTTGAGTTTTATTTTATTCAGGGTGTTTGTACCTGGGGTCACTACATAGACTTGAATGTGATAGTTGAGTAGGAGTGTGGTTCAGTGATACGAAAAACTAGACTGCACTAACTGTAGGTAGAGTTTTGTACGTACTCTTTGCACCTCGTTTGTAGTGGTCATTTAGTGTTGCTAGTCATAGCACATGTAGTATATGAAATATTTGACTAGTGTGTTGATCGTCAACTCCCTCCTGTTGATGAGTTTATCATAATATTTGAGTGATATATGAAGCACTACATAAAAAGATTCGTGGAAAACCTTCCAAATTACTTAAATTAGTGTGATCCACTTATTTTTTGCACAAACTGTTTCGGCTTTTAACTGGGACGATTTACATACTCTTAACATATCGTGTTTTGAATATGTTTATAGGATCAGCATGTGAATTTCAGTTGTACCAGTGATATTCTCGTCTTTGATGATCCAATGAACTGTGGTTCATTGGGAAAACGAGTTTCTCGTCCTACAAAAAGGTAAGCAAGTTCTAACATCTCTATTGAAATGTTGAATGAATCGGTTAATGTCAGGTATCAGTATTATTTTTTATGATACCTACTGAATTTAACTATTCACTTCAAGTAAGATTTTTTTTGCAGAAACTTTATAGTAGTGAAATCATAGTGTAGATAAGTTGGGAAAGAAACTTTGTAAAGCCACTAAATAGTCAGTTATTTTAAGGGTGTAGTCCTATAGTACATCATGCTAGAGAGAATGTATGCATTGATGACTGTAGAGTAACCAATTTCATATTGCTTAGTCCTCAATGTTGACCTAGTTTGATCGATCTTTTTAGAATGTGGTCGACTAAACTAGGAGACTTAGCATCATGGTGCACTTTGGTTAATGTTAATTGGTTGAAGGCAATCGGCAGGAAGCTATGAACTTACTTCTTAGGTAGTGACACGAATAGCTCACTGCTAAAGTCTGTGACTGCATTACTGGATGAAGCGGGTTCAAATCTCGTAGGAGACATTAGTTTCTTCAAGGTTCCCAGGAACTCTTTGCTGACGAGTCCCAGAAAGTACGAAACCTGGGTTCAGGGCTTCCTGCCCTCAACCATCTAATATATATATATATATATATATATATATATTACTACTTTGACTACCTTCGTCTTTATTTTTGTATCTTCTCTTTCTACTTTGACGTGCAGGTATGAGGTGTGGCATCTTGAATTGTTACACAGTAAAACTAGGTTTTACATTAATGTTGACTGACCGCCGACATTTGTAGTGTAACTTGAAAAGAAGACGTTTAGTGGATATCGTATCAATTGGCGAGTGTGTTTTGGAAACAAAACTGTTGGAACCGATTGATATCATACTTATGAAATCCTCTTGTTGGCCCAGTTTATCAGTCACTGCTAGTTTAAATAAGTCTGTGGTAAACGCTACTTCTAAAAATGCATATCAGTAGTTTATATACTAACATCGAAAAACGGAGTGTAATATCAATGTCTGAGTGGAGGTTCCGGAGGGGAGAAGACGAAATTCTGAGTACAAGTATTAAGAGCAAGTGCGCTGCACACTGGAATACCGTAAACGAAAATGTTTGCTAATACAGACATCTTATCTTTAATATTTTGATCAATACTGATTGTTGTTTAACTTTACATCTCCCTTCAAAGCAATACTGTTGAGTTGGACTTCAAGACATTATGCTAACATTTTATAAATATGAATCTAACTTGATGTAATGACCTTTATTACTAAAAATTAGGAACAGCATATAGTATGAAAATTTAAGTGATTTCATAATGTTAATTTTTATGTTATTCAGTGAATAAACTCAACAGTCAAATAATGTTGAGGAATATATTCTTGATATTTGATTCTTGAATACAGTTTTCGAAGATCATTTCAATTTAATCATTATGAACAAAACTCTTGTGATATGAATTTAAAGGATGCTGACTGACAAAAGAAATGCACTTCACAACTTTTCATGAGAACTGTAGAGTTAAATAGTATTTGATAAAAAGTCTCAGTAGGTTTCAAAACGGATTTCTTCTGGTTCTGATTGAGCTGTAGCTCATTAGTCTTAGCACCTTGATTTCCAGCAGATTGATCACATTTCCGAGCTGAGCTTTACTTACCGAAGTTTAGGCAACTAGTTAGTACCTACCGTTATCCCTCACACAGTAGGTGTGGCTCACCGCCTACTGTACGAATATGAATCAGGCTCCCGAATGGATTTCGATTTTCTGTTCAAATAAAGTGTCAGCTTAAGGACACATGCACTCTACTCTTAAACACCAAATTTTAGGAATTTTTATCTATTAATGATTTTGATATTTGTTCACTACGGAATATAGGTAATTACTTCAGTAGTTTGTTTTCATTCTGCATCATAATGAAATGTTAATGAACATATTGTTAGCGGGGGTGAACTATTTTACTCTATTTTCGTTGTCATAAATGAGAGCAATGGTAAATTTAAGCCTTTTGAAAAGGTAGCGAGTTCTAGTGCAATAGAATGACTCTTTTACCTACCCTTTCGTTTTCAATAAGCGCAATCAAAAAAAAAATCCGATGTGTTGCTCAGTGTTTTATAATTATATTATCGAAGGTATAATAATCACTAATCTGCTAATGGTTGACAAACTGAAAGCCACAGTAACATTATCTGATTATTATCTATTAAACCCGATGTATTTATCACGATCTACATAATATCTAGAATTTAGTATGTATGCAGACTGTCGGTTAATTTAAATGGAGCAGCAACAGTTTCAGCACAGCAACATGTATCCGTTTTGTTTCGTGGCTTCTCATCAGCGACCTACAAATTAAAACAATTTTAACATCAATTTATACAAATGTTTGCATGCATGAGTCAATTATCGGCTTGAAATGAAGATAACATTGATATTAGCCTAGTTAAAGACACAAATACAATAACAGTAAATTTGTCAATATATAGAAGAATTGAACGAACATTCTAGAGCGGAAGTTGAATATGGGGGGGGGTGGCGAGATATGTTCGAAAAGATTGCGTAAAATGTGTAAGCATAAGGTCAGTGTTAGCTAAGAGAATAAGATGATTAGAACTCAGATAATAAGGTCAAGGGTGTGAAATAGCAAACATCAAACGTTTATGAATCGATAATGATGCGTAAAAATGGCTACCCTAGCAACAAGTGAAATAACCGATTCGACTTCTCTGCCTTTCTAGCCGAAATGGAGAAGCTTAATTGGTCATTTCGGTTTTTGCTAGGGTGGCGTTTAAAGTCGCCCTAAAAGCACAATAATTGTTCCGAATTTGAATAAAGCAAGAACAAAAACATTTACAGGATAAAGTGAGCTCATTTTATTTCACGGCCTTTGATCAGCTACAAACAGTCTACAACTGAAATGAAATATTAGTAGTAATAATGACATAACGTACTTTAAATATTGTCAAAAGTACAATCGTTTTTACCATGGTAGGAGCAGAGTGATAACTGTTTCTTTCTGAACACATAAATCCGGTTTTAATCGCTTATAAGCTGCCGCTTCAGGGAAACACGACAAATTCAAATTCATGCACTTATTAATTACTTTGAACGATTTCTGGATATCAACTATGACTAAGGTGACGAGCAATGGTGCTATTGTAGACATTTCCACTTCTTTGTCGCAAATTCTTTGGAATATTCTCAAGCATGTGGTCATAAACCCTTCTTCCTATTCGTTCAATGTATACACTTTGGCGCGTACATGTGAATTGGCGTACGCATTTGGAGGCAACATGAATAAGAAACTTGTCAACTTTTAATTGTGTCAGTGAGCATCTCGTTTGGTAAAGTAGAATTAACGTAACAGCAGGTTAGGTTCTTTTAAAGGCAGTATGTATTTTGTAATTAATTCTCCCAGAAACAACGTCATATTTGAAATAAAGATGTAGGAAAACCGGTTTCTCGACTATATCACACAGCAGTTTTAGTTAGTATATTCTTATACCTACTGAAGAATTAAGGTTCGGTTAATGTTTTTTCCCCACAGCATTTATTGTCTATCATGTACACATGTTATCAATTCTGTGTTGTAAATGATTGAGTGTTATCATAGTATCAAAAAAGAGATAGTACATTGCTTTATCTTTTTTCTGATTTTTAGTGAACAACCTCCGCAGCGTATACGTAACTTAAAAAGGTGTAGATATATAATAGTTTCTCCATTGAGTAGTCAAAAAAACTGTGAAACTGAATTGATGGACTCCACTATATACTTATTTTTACAAAATAATAAATTGTTTACAGGTTGGTATTCATTATGAACTGATATCAGTTGGAGAAAAATTGGAATTTTGGAGCACTGGATAGCTGGAATTCCTCAGCAGTGCGCGCCCATGATGCCGCTAAGAATCGGACGCAGGACATTCAGGTTCCCGGCCAACTGACCTGAAACCAATAAATAAATCCCTACAAACCTTTAATTTGAATTAATCTAGGGCTTATTGATGACTTGCTTCGTGATGGGATTCCCGAAGTTCTATTGAGAAATCGTGACCGGTGGGACCAACCAAGTGGGACGTATAGACAGTTACACAACGACAGCATTGGATGGAGGTCGCACCATATCATTAACTGACAGATGTAGGATATGTGGATCACTGGATTCCAACCTAGTGGCTCAATGGCAACGTGCTTGCTGCAGAACCTTGGGTTCGACCCCTGGGGTGGTCATGGGTGCACACTGCTGAGGGGTCGCCTACTAGGACGAAACAGCTGTCCAGGTCTCTTGTAGTTTCCCAGTTGATATCAGTACATCATGAATATCAACCTGAAATCAATAAATAAATCCCCACAATCCTCCTAATTGAATAGTAAATTCCTTTTGAGGGAAAATGATTTAACTGCTTTGTTTAAGGGTTTTTCAATTAACCTTCAATAACCTCATTTGTGAACTTTTATCTGCTGAATTATATGAATATATTAACAAAATCAATTCTAGATTTATTTCTACTAACTTTTTAAATTTATTTAGGAAGCGTTTCAAGCCTGATGTACCGTGCACTAAACAGTACTCTCGTTGTCATTCAAGCATACATCTTTCAGTGAATGAAACCAAAAATTTATTGCAGAACTATTGTCCTCTGTCACTATCTCATTCATCATCGGTTAGTCTTAATATTGTCAACTTAAATCTTCTTTACTACCTAATAATTCACCTTCGTATTAACATTTATAATAATCGTATATTTTGTATAAAATTAATAACTCAGTAAACATGTAAAACACCATGCAAAAGTAGTTCTCAAGGTATAGTTAGCATCCGGGCTATCTAGTATTATCTTTACCGAGAGAAATGGTACTGGCTACTTAGTTACAGCAGGTTGAGTGCACCATCCTATAAGTAGGATTCATTTCTAAATGTTATTAATGACTATTACATCATGACATATTGCTTAATATCTAGCTTATTTTATATGATAAACCTTGTTCTTCATTCCAGGATTTTATTGCTACTACAGTGTTACTCATTGAACTGTCCAAGGATTTTCGTTCATTGACATGGAGTAACAATGAAAAGTTATTTCAAATCAGTATATTTATTACTCTTCATATGGTTGCTTTTTATCCATTATTTTGAAGAGCAAGGCAAAACTGTGCTCACAAATAGTTTTGTATTAACTACTGCTTTGCTTAGCACTGAAAATGAGTTGCTTTGGGTTCCACAAGCATGCCAAAGATTTTATCTTCGTATATCCGCATAAAAAGTATAGAATTCGCCTAATTTGTGACGGTTTACAAGAGTGACTGTGAACACCAACCGAGAAACAACTGTAGATATCCATGCGCGATTTTTGATTTTAAAAAAGACAGCTAGTCATACAGATAAGCATTAACATACCTGATTAACTCGAAGTATACTCAACGAAGTGACTGTTGATAAAGTATTGATGCGGCTTGTGGAAATCCTGGCTGTGGTCAACTGGTTGACTAGAGTGGACCACCTCATAATAGTTAGCTTATTTTACCTTATCATCCTTGCTGAAGTAAATGTAGCTAGTGAGTAGTATTTGCTTGAAAGGTTATTTCTTGTTGCGCCGTGATTTGATGACAGTGAAGTATTTTCACCGACTAATAGACCTTTTGTCTTATGTCTAGAAATTAAAGTTCGAAGCTTGGATTCAAAAAATTGCTTATTTTACAGAACCCATTGGCTTTCATTTGCTGGGGGTAAGGCTTTTTAACGCAAACGTGATACTCCTCGGTAGTTAACTTCTTTAAAAAAGACTACGTGAACAACATAGAGCAAATGTCTTGTTCATTCTGTGGTAACTCAAATCCATCTTTTTCAACAAGATTTCAATTTGGACTCTTCCAACTGAGATATACTAGTCCACTAATCTGCAACGATACAATTATTCCTTCGGATCATTCTTTACCACTATTTTCACCATTCCTCCTTCCGACCTCTGCAGTTAGTTCTCGTTAGGATGTGCAATTTCTGCCCCTTAGATCCCAAACAAGCTGTAAATTACTAATCCGACCTAACTATAAGTTTCCAGACAATCATATAACCATACTTATGAATGAAAGATTAGATGAATTGGCCTATCATCTCGACAAAGGCCAGGTAGTAACGAAAGCCATTGCCAATGTATATAGCATTGTCTCTTGTACATAGTTGACTAAACGATCCGACCGTCTATAGATTTTCTGCTTTTCCTGTTATCGCGAAGTTGAATGACAAAGGCAGTGAAATCGAAGGTTATTTTACAAGTGTTTATGCTTATCTATCCATATCGGCATTACAGTATATCAGTTCTAAGAACTAATGTGGAAGAGCGTTCTTGATTTTGAATAAAAAGCTACGTCATACTGCATATTAGTCCTTTCGACATCAAAAATTCGAGTATTCTAGTTCATAAATGCCTGTTTTACTTACTGGATACTTGGATTTAGATCACTCTGCAAATATTTTCTTGACCTGAAATACATAATAACCACGTTTAAAGTCCATCACCAACAGATACAGTTTTGCGTAAGGAGACTTACTTACTTGGTGAGATCTTATACCTCCTTGACTTAAGTGACTCAAACCTGTATTGTGCATGCCGATTCACCAATTAGTGTTAAGTTCAAACATTTTTTTCTCCAGAAATTCTAAGACTAATACAACTAAGACATGGAGATAATCAATGATCAGCATTTTTATTTGTCTTATTTCTAATGTGTTCCTCCTTTTCTTAGTCTTCTCTCTCTATGCGTTATATTAACCTGAATCAGAATAATTTCTCATGTGATTCTACGTTGGTCCATTTTCCTTCCTGAGAATATTTTTTTTGTGTGGAATATGAGTCTTTCAATTCTCCTGTTATCTAATAGTGTTTGATTTCTTCTAATGCGTAGCGTTTTTTAAACATTACAAAACAGATTTTTCAAGAGTTTGTATTATTTTCTTGTCAATGTATTTTAGCCAAATTCAATGTCTGATGCAGAAAAGAAGCACGATATTGACATTTTCGATAAAAGTATTGGTTTTTGGACAGGTTCGTTTAATTTTATTTCCATGAATCTTTTACAAAATTATTGGTTATTTCACAAAAACATTTATTTAATTGAATGAAACTTTTTATCCACTCTTGTGTGACTTAATGTAACATGTTAGGTAAAAGAAGAAATGCAGCTCAACGATCACATATATATGTATGCGCTCTAGGTCCCAATTTACACCTGAAGTATGATGACGAGTGACAAACTGAAACGCTTTCGGAGAGCTGAAACCACCTTAACCGATGAGTAGAATGTTTGGTACATAAAGCCATTGAGAATTTCTGATAGCATTCAAGGGAAGATAATTTGTGTGTAGTATTTAAAAGCAATTTGCGTGGTTGTAACCCTATCATACTTTTATTGATGTATATATACGGGACTATGCACCAAATGCAACCTAAAAATAATTCTCATTTATATAAGCTTAAAGTTCACAATTCCAGCTTTGAGGTGACGTGTGCAATAAGCTTTAGCTGTTGGAAGTGATTTTTTGCAAGCTAGCTGAAAAACAGTATTTTATGTACGTTGATGATCTTCGGATAGTGGCAGTTTCATACTGTCTAGTCCCGCTGTGTGGCCATTCAGCTAGGTGACCCAATGGTGTGGTGCACTTTACCTGATGTTAGGTGGTTGGAGGTTATCGATAAGAAATTGCGGATCTAGGTTACGTTCTTTTTGGTACTCATCAGCAAGACATCTGACACACTGACTGACAAAATCAACATGGAACCCCGCATAGAAATGCATTAATTCAAGTTACCACACTTTACAGTAGTACGCAAAAAGCTGGTGCATAGAAAAATTGGTACCGAAGTAGGTAAAGCAGTGTGAGAGAAGATAAAGGTTAGTGCGAATGTTAAAGCTTTACATATCAAGGAGTGAATACATCTGCGCCATTGTGACGGACTTTCAATCATTTCACCGAAAGTTCTCAACCATTGATTCCCTTTCGTTTTGGAGACCCCCACCAGACAGTCTGCATCTTCTCAATTGGCTCAGGCGAACAGTGAGAAACTCCATCGATTGGTGCCAGTTTTTAGCGGAAGACATCTCTGAGTATGACACTAGTGACAAGCGTTTGGGTCTGTAAAAGGGCATCAATTTCCTCTAGTTTGCAATTACACCTTGTTAATAAGCATTAAACTTATGTCTAGGACTTTTTTCAAATACGTTAAATCAATTACCATCAGTCTTTTATATCTTCATGGTAGACATTCACTAGTTATCCATCTTATTAGTTTATGAAAGAGGAAGACATCCTATTTTCTACGAAACATTTATGTAGCATTTTGAATATGCACAGAGAATAGCGTTTTAAAACACCTTTCGTTTAAAATTTCCATGCTAGTATTCGTTTCCGATAGAAGCCTCACCGTTTTCTGGGAAGATATTCTACTCAAGTGCATCTTTTCTGTTTTTCTAGATCCCAGAAAGCCAAAATCCAACGGTAGATCTTATATTCGAAGCAATTCAGAATCCAATTTAGCTAGCAACCATTGGTATTGCAAGTCAAACTGTATCTGTGATGGTACAGTCCCTAATGTTATTTCAGATTGTACAATTGCAAAATCAAATATAAGACTACAGATTTTGGCTCGTGTGGCCGCTTATTGCTTAAAAGAACACACTTCTAATTCCTCACTTTCAGTGAATACAGCAGCAGAATTACCTACTGGCAGATTCATCAGCTTAGCCGATCAGTTAGTCTTGTTATGCAGGCGTCTGTTGGTCCCTTGTCATTTTATTGATTATCCACCTAATTTGGATATTAACTACAAGGTGCGTTTTCAGCAGTTGTTTCGTTCTCTATATATTCTTGTATTTTACCATGCAAAATAGATGAAAACAATTTATAGTCAGGTCATCATTTCTACTTTATTTTTTCCGTCCCTGTTAGTGTTCATTCAGGATTATGTAAGAACGGAAAACAATACTCCTTTTGGATTTCTCAAATGAAAATCGGTGTTTTCATTTCTGAAATCACTGACTATTATGAGGAAATATTGTTGCCCAAAAATCCAGCCCAAAATTTTTCATTAGTCTTACCGCTCAATTGTAAAATTTTCAAACCCTACACATAATCTCTAATCTGATGGGATACACTAAATGGTTTATCTTTAGGGCCTATCTGAAAATACCGTATCACCAGTCGAAGTGCGAAACGAACTTGTTCAATTTTCTTCTTCTAGGTTCTAACTTGTCAACGTGAGTGTCCATTACCAGTTTTGTGTCACTATCAATTATCTGATTCCAAATTGAATCACTTTAGTCTAACCGTATTATATCGATATGGTAGAATCAAGGTTAATCCATTCTTTCCAATGTTTTCGTTGCTTTTACATTGAGTGTAGTTTTTTTCTTTGAATCAGATTCTGTTTGGACCAGATGATGGTTAGCACTTGAAAACTGATCATTTCACTGATTTTAAACTTTAGTTTACCACGTAGACTAGCGAATGAAGTAATTAGTTACTTTACGCGACATACTTTACGCCGTCTTACTTTATGTCAAAACATTTTTCCAGAACTGCAAAACGATGTGTTATTTCCCCAACTTCAATAGTGGTAAATTGGAGAATAACAAGTATGTCAATAAATAGTAATAACTACTACCCGTTGTACAAGAGGTGGCTATCGTTCCTCCGTGGCATAGTGGATAACGCCTTGGCGTTTGAAGCGGTGGGTACGGAGTTCGAGTCCCGGCGGGGACAACATCACTGGGGTGCAGGTACATCCAGCTGACGAGTCCCAAGCAGGACGAAACGCGCGTCCTGGATTCTTCTGCTAGCCACAACCAACCAATTTATCATAATTAACATTCAGGCAATATCGAGGTGTCCACATAGGAGCCCATATGCCGATAGAGGTCGAACAATTCGATCCAACAAAACAACGGAGAATAACAAGTATGTCAATAAAGTGTTCATCATGCTTCAAAAAAAATGTTGCTTTTTCAGAATAACCGAGAATGTTATTTTACTGAACAAAAACTGCAGCAGACGAATGGCTAATCGATAATGTAGACAATTCTCTGTTAGAGCTTAGATGTATGTTTGTGGTAGCCGGCGGTTTAATCCCACTGTATTAAAGGCATGAAGAACTTTACACCGTGTAAAATTTGTGAAAGGATGTGGAAATTGATGTGTCTGTCTCTCTCAAGAAAAAACCATAGTTTTTGTTCATACGTTTCGTTCCCTAGCAAATTTTCAAAACCGAATCGCGTCATTTTACTTCACGGACATTCATCTGCTTCCTACAACCTAAAATTACATATCTTGGTCAGGATAAGTATTAATTTTTTATATATGATTGTATCGATAATTTGGATTTATAGAAAAATTATCAAACGAACAACGATTCAAGGGAAGAGGGTTTCTAAGTCATTGAGAGAACATGTAAACTTGTCAATTTTTGTTTATTTATTAAGCTGAAGGCTTCCGGGATATCTATTTGGTGTTTGGTTTCTATCAGCTGCCTTGCTATTACACTTTTGATAATTGTGCTGCCTTTCAAATACAAATTTCTTGCGACATGGTCGAAAATTGAGCTCTTTTTTCAGTCCTTCCTATGTACTTGCTTCCGCTTCAGATGAATTGCTAAATATGGTTGGGTTTGATATGAAAAGGGCATTTATCTACTTCAGATTGACTTAGTGAGCACGTAGTATTGTAAACCGATATTATTATATAATCATTATTATAACACAAACTTTGTACAACAAGAGATGCACCATACAAAATAATGAAGCAACCTTATGAAGACACAAGAAATGTTAGAGAGAATGGAAACTAAAACAGAAGTAGGTTATTAAAGAAACAGTTTTGAGGATACATTCAAAGAAGTATTCACTACTCTTCTTTCACTTTTCAGTGATAGAGTAAACAAGAAGATTATAGTATGATCACTACTGGTTTCGATTCTGCCCTGTTTGCTATTTTTTTCAAGCCACCGAGCTGCATGATCTCTCAGGCTCCACCCAGAGACTTACGAGGTATCTACAAATACTGACCTATCACAACTATCTTTCATCGTATGGCACCACATCATACACTAACCACTTCTGCAATATCAGCTTAACAGACAGGAAGCTTCTTTTCAGTGCACATCTATTCCTTTAGGTATCTCATCTCCCTTAGATGTCAAATGAATAAAAACCGATTCATTCTTAACTGTTGGATGTTTAGGTTTTCCAGTAAGTCCTCTTTCATACTTCAAAATAAGCTTCTTAAGGTATCCATTCTCTCTAAGAAGTATTCACTAACTTTGTCTAAGCATAAAAACTGGTCATCTTGTATTCTGCGTTTCTTTTTCATCATCCATATCGAAATGCTGTCAACAACCTTGTACACATTCTTACATTAGGCAATGAACAACACTTAGTGTTTGAGGGGTGATGGTACTACTACCTGGCTGCCCAAACCTCGGTAGGTGGAGCGGTGTTTGAACCCGTGACCCACGGTCTGAAAGTTATCTCCCTATACTAATAAAACCACAGTTCCATATACCTTTTATGGGTTTTTAATTTTTATCATCATTTTGTGTTTTACTTTAGAAGCGGGAAGGACTGGATTCAAGACATTGTCAGTACATAGTTATTCTGTTAGTTGGTGCAAATCCTACAAACAATACCATAACACTGAACTATTCAGAAAAAAATGATGACTATATATCAGTGAAGGCATCAGATTTTACAAGAAATGCAGCCAAACAAAAAGCTGCTCAACTTGTAGTCCAGTGCTTAGCAAAATTAATCAGATAATCGCACCTTATACTTGAGAGTGATATATTTTCGTTTTATATTCTTACTTTTATTTGCATTGAATTAACTACTCGTAGTCATGTAGAGGCTGATGCATTTATTGTTTTTGATTACGCTTTATAATAATATTTATGTATTCATTTATTGCTGTTACGATCTCTAGTGCTCATTTTTCATCGATTTTTTAAAATTGTTTCTTATCATTGTATTCATTTATACACTGTCATAAGTGGCCTTCGACTTTTCATTATGATAAATTTACTACATTCATGCAAGTTCTGTCTTTTATTAAAATGATGGGAAGAAAGTGCTTGTACATGTTGAATGGCATTTCATACAGAAATCAAGGTATTTTTGAAAATGGGATTGTTTAGAGAATTCACTCTTGTTTTTATTGATACTAAGCGTTTAATGTATAAAGTTAAAAACTGCTTATGCTGTTAGCGATAGTGGATATAATTTCACGTGCTTAATTACACACTGTGAGCATCGTAACTTCTTGTACATAAAATTCAAGATTCGCTTGTAAATTTATGTTGTACTGAATTAAAGAAAAAAAAAACTTTCTGATGGATTTGAGCATACTTCATGTATAACACTACATAAAATGGTTACGAATCTTTAGTGATTAGACAAAACAGGATGCACAGGAATGCAGTTAATACCTGTTCTCCTTTCTTACCACACAAAATCAAAAGTGGAACTTAATAGCTTGGAAATGTGGTCTATTAATAACAGTAGTTTACTAAAACGTGATGTAATTAGGATACATATCAGTCGCAGTTAACTTAAGATAGATCCATATTTTGAATGTGTCCAGTATGAGCCAAGTGACTAAACATCATCTTACAATAAATCTAAGCGTGGACTGTTTCGACGTGGCTTCTAAAAAGCTTAAAAGTTAGACTTTTTAAATGTTGGAACTTACCACTATGATGCATCTAAAATACTCAATGTATGACATGTCAAACCACTTAGCACATAGGATTAACATAGTACACAGAACACAGTAATGAAGGGTGAAGTACGCCGTTATCTACTATCCAATGACCAACAATTCTAACCAACAGCATCGTCATTTGCTTCTATCACGTAGACTAAAGATATTTCTTCTGGCGTTAACACCAATTTGTAAAAGTAAAAAGACATAAAATCAGTCGACATATACATTTATTACACCACATAAAAAGTTGCAAAATATTAAAAGTAAGCTATTCATGTAATTACACTAAGTAGATGTAAGTTGATATAAATAAATTATCATGGAGCTAGTCGTTCACATACCCAACCATTATCACTTTTATCTGTAATTTGATCGGAACGACGAAATCTGATACGATCATGTAGTCTGTTTGTTTGACCTTGCCAAAACTCTATGGATTTTGGAAATAGAATGTATCCCCCCCTAAAATGTAATACAGAAATGAATATTTTAAAAAATTCGGAGCAGGAATTTTAAACGAATAAGTAATTATCGCATCATATTTTTTTTTAAATCTAAAGTTGCATAGTGCAATAGTTCAATTTTATGCTTTTTAATACTTATTACTACGATAAATCTGTGTCATTGAAGAAACTCAAAAGCTATGAGATTACAATGCCTAGTTCAAATAACTTGTCTAACTGAGGAGGCGATTGAAACATGGTCAAACGTTAAAGTGAACAAGAATTTCTCGAAGATTGTACAATGTTGGTTGTTGATGTCGCGCCAACTAACTCTGGTTCTCAATCTACAGAAAATTCACTTCAAACGTGTAGCGCTAAGAAAAGTGATATCGCACACCTCATTTTAGTGATATCAACTTGTCTGATTCATACTATGGGATCAAGTTTTGTTTCACCTCCTCAACCCTCACTAAGCTAGACAGATTTTTTGACAATACTTAAATCCAGATTAAATCATGCCAACGCTTACCAGTTTGAAGGTTTGGGAAGTTTATCTTTATCAGCATATTCATTTTCTAGTTCTGTATATTTCTTGTCTAAAAACTATTTTAAAGAAGAAAAAAAATATGCGATCATATCATAGCATTTAGAAACAAAACAGTAACATGTTACTAATTTAAAATGGTTGTAAAGAAGCCAAATATTCACTGGTCTACAGTTAAATTTTGATTAGGCACAACAGTTTTTTACATAAATCAGATGAAAAGCTCACCTATCAATAAGCCTCATCTATGCAGGACGGTACAACTAAATAAGCTTTGTTTAAGTGACGGATACAGTTATAAAGTAAGGCCGAAGAAATATAATGACTGAAGTGATGGGAAAATAAATTACAAATGCCTAAAGAACAAAGGCCTTCATTGAAGATGGCTGGAATAGAAGCCTCAGAGTTGTCCTATAGATGGATGACACAAATCTCTATAAGAACTAATCATTTTACACAGCTACATACGTTTGGCGACGGGTTCACTAACAATTAAAAGCTTTAAGTTATGTAATGCAAAACGTATCTTTGTGGCAAATATACACGTACTAGTACTGTAATTAGTGAATCGGTTAGTATTATGTATCAGCCTACTTTCTTTTGAACATAAGCAGCGTCCTAGAAATCAACTTACTTCTTTTCTATCCTGTTACTTTAGTTATTATTATTGCACATTTTCACTTGATTGATTTCTACTTAGTTCGCGTCCTTAAAACATCATTACGAACTGACACAATGCTCTGTTAGGTCAGCTTCAAACTTGTCTATCGATCAATGACTAAGAACATATGAAGTCATAATGTTTTATTTATGCATATCCTATTCTGTTCGGATATCAAAACCACTGATTCAACGGATAGTGAAGTACTTATCGTACTGGACATAAAATCTACGTTAATGGTTTTCTGCTGATTGATAACAAACACTTCAAATCAAAAACAACCCGATAACCACTGTGAAAACAAGTTATCCTTGCCTAACGAACACAACTACAATGACCTAGAATTTCTAAACGACTCTTGCAAATAGTTAAGCTTCTCGTAGGAATATGATTCCAGTCTAAGAATGTCAAAACCACACAAGACGTCTAAATAATCTTGTAGAATAAGGTAAGCTATAAAATAACATCCACACAGAAGTACATGCTGCTTTCTGAGACTGTCATAATGATGTCAAATACGTACAGACTATTCATAGGGAATTCTCCGACCATACAGTAGATTTTGACTGGAACATTTCATCTCATTTTGAATCTCAATGTAATCATTAAAATTTTGTTGTTAACTACAGACATGCTTATTGAACAGGTTTAATACGTACATTTACTGCCTCCGACATTTGGGGGTTTTATTTTGTGCCATCAAACTCTTCGAAAAAATCCTTAGCTAGGTCGATGTTAGTTTGACTGTGAAGGGTCAAGTGAACAATGCGTTAGTAAGGGTAGCTTCTTTCTAATCTGTATGTTTACAACCAACGTCATCTCTGAAGGATTGCTAGCATCCAATGAAATCAAACTATTAATAATTGTAAGGTGTGGTGGAATGAGTTTGAAACTCATGCTTTAACAAGTTTTTTTCTAAAATAGATAATAACATTAGTTAGAAATCTAATTTTGAACATTATGCAGCAGAAATTCCTTTTAAAGACCAATAGGATAGGATTATAAACCTCCAGGTTAATAGGGACAGCGTACATGACATTCAACAAGGAATATGCAGAACTAAGAATAATTGGTAATAAAAACTCACACACACACACACACTATATATATATATATATATATATATATATATATATATATATATATATATATATATATATATATATATATATATAGTTCTTTGAGATAAATAACTTAAACAATGTTAGAAGACAAACTTTAGTGTATTATTTAGATAGTTTATGACAGAGATTGAGTATTCTCTGATTTATATCATTTCACGAAGTTTAGAAAGCACAAACATAAGCTCTTACTTCACGATTAGGAACCACTTGACTTTGTTGACTAACTGTTGCTGAGATTTGGCTGGCTTTCGAACGACTTTTAAAGTATTCTTCGCTCTCAAAATCTGAAGATCGTGTGACTGTACCCTCTACACGCACCTATTTAATGATAGTAGTAATAATAAGGGTATTACATTTTATTTGCCTTGATGTGATAATAATTCGTTATATTTCCAACAAATACATGATTCATAGTCATTCAACTACTCGCGATGCTAATCACTATCCACTTCACAAAATTTACTGACAGCTAAAATACTATGCACTGAAAGTGTAGTTTCTATACAACAAAAACTGGATAACGCATTAGTAAAATAGCTGTATACTTGATGTTACACCTTCCACTGAAGTTGTTTTACCTAAATTGTAGGTTGCTAAAGTCATTCAAGTGTAGCTTACATTCTGTCGGCATGAAAAAGGTAATTCCATTTTTATTGGTTTATTAGATTTATCACACAGTGTAACTGTATTGTTTACTGGATTAGGTTTCGGAAATAATTTATTGTCCATCTTGATATGACCATGGACAATAAATTGTGTCCGAAACGTAATCCAGTAAATAATACTGTTACACTATGATAAAAATAGAATTACATTCTGCCACGTTGCACAAGTTTTACTCTTTTATGAATGAAAAAGGTATTCTAACTAAATCGTATACGACCAAGTCATTGAAACGTAAGTGGACTTTACTAATAGGAATAAGTGCTTCAGTGATTTGACTCTCCATTTTTCTAAAAGGGATAGTTAGCTGTTCATGAGAAAACATGTATATCTAACGAAACACCATTTTAGGTAAAATAATTACACTACTTACCGGATCGAGTTCATCGTGTACAAAATATGATTAGGTTCAAGTACTCAAGACTCGCAATTTGGAGTTAACCAACCTTTAATTATCGTCCACTCACAGTTAGTAGCTTAAACAACTCATTATTATTATGGTTAAATGATGCGAGATATGTTTTACACTATGATGGAATGTAAGTCAATAACCATGCCCAATTTGGCGCACTAGACAACGAGCTACACATTGGGTGAAAGTTGATGATACTACTAGACTGACTAAACTTTGGTAACCTTTGCCTCATTGACTGAAGATCACTTGATTAAACCAATTCGTTAAAGATTCACATTTTGTTGACCCAAGTTCGATTATTTTAATTGTGTCCCAATAGCATCATCGTCATCACTCCTTCGTTATTTTTCTACATAGCTCAGACATATCTCCAAAGTGCTTCTAAGATACAAATGTGATAAAGACGATGATGTTTGAATTCGTAAAATTACGCTATGATAGTAAACAACTATAAATGTTTCTGGCGAAAGTTTCCAGGGAATGATTGCTCTTAGTGTATCATTCAAAATAATTTATTCTATGTTTTCTCGGACCAAAGTTTGATTACTGCCTAAGTATAATCTACAAAGACAGGGGAAAAATTGCAACAAAACATTAGGCATTCATGCAATATCGAGGAACATGTAAGTGAGGAATGATGACATCAACAACAAAATCCACTCTCGATTAAGTCAGTCTAGTGAGTACGAAAATTCTGCATTGAAGACAAATACGTGTCTTTGTAGGTTAGCAGTCTATCGGATGTGTTAAGCCTCAGCGTCAATTAGAAGACTGAATTATGAAAAGGAACTACTTCAAGCTTGTGTTTAAAACACGATTAAATGCACATTTTTGATTTCAATGCTAGACGTGTTCCAAAATTAGACTTCTGTCATATGATTCATAACTGGAAAATAAACATTGACACGAAAAACCAGTTCTGGATAGTTTTTTCTATCCCCGAACCAAATCACTATCGAATCAAGACAAGCTGAGTGAAGAAAAAACTGAAGAAATTTATCTCGCTTTCTGAGTAATCTCAGGGAAATATTTACTGGTTAAGTAACTTTCTGTGCAGTGTGCATGATCGTAGACCATTTAGAGTGCAAGTTTATAAAGTTGAATAGGAAATTAATGGTAGGTTTGAACTTTTAAAAGGTGTGATTCAGAAAAGATGAACTAGTAATTTTAGGTCGAAGTTTTTAAGTATGGTTTGATTTATCAGCCTTCCTTACCTGACGTTTGAGAAATTCCCAGTAAAATAGAAGACTGGCATTTGGGTTACTGTCTAGCTCTTGAGCTTTTCTACTTTCATAGTTAGTGAAAAAATGAAATCCATTTTCATCCAACTCTTTTAATAGAACGAACCGTACACTCGGAATGCATTCCCTAACAAAAACAAATAATAATGAAAAACAAGACAGAGTTGGTTATCATAAATATTTGGTTGAAGAAATTGAAATTCTAATTAAATTTTAAGCAAAAATAAATGCTGTAAGCTGACACATGAGGATAATATATAGTAAAATTTATAAGGTGGGTGGGTATCTGCGTGACTCATGATAATTAGGTTGACTGTATCTGTAAATGAAGAGTATGCTAAAATGTTTTAGCGTTCTGGTGTTGAAAAAGATTCGTATAGGTTAATTTAATTTATTTCTCTTAACAGACATTATTTAATCATATAACCATGTGAAGCTACATTTAAACGACAAAAACAGTGATCAGGTTATATGCATAGGTTTGTTCAAGGTTAGACCACTTTTATATATTCGAAAACAATTTGTTGTTAGATTAAACCTCCCTTTATAAATCAGCATTAGTATCAAGGGTGATTAACATACTTTCTCTTTTGATCTATAACAGTGTAACCCTTCATCATCTCAATAATTCTTTGTTATATTTGATATAAATATCCATCAAAAGTGTGTTAGCAGACTGCGCGAAATGTACTGCGCTAATAAACAACCCGTTTCATATACACCAGCACCTAAAATGGTAAGAGTTGGTGAATACCAAACAAGCCTCCTGTATCTCAGCTGATAATTCATCAGAAACTAACCTCTTCGAAATCATGTAAATCAACAAGTAAGTGAACCTATCAACGCATTCAACCAATGCTAAAACTAACCGTAGCTGAAAATCAGTCCTGGAGCATCATCTTACATTTCACAGTTGCAAAAAACGCATGCCAGACGTATTCAGATTTCTGCTTAACGCGTTCAGTAGACTCCACAATTTGTCAACAACTTCAACCAGGGGAACAATGTTTTCTGTGTACTCCGTATTAACCAGATGACTTCCAGGGAGTAGATCAGTCCCAGTTAAGTCAGACGTACGTGAAGTTATATTCATTTATATGTCCATAACGAAGTTACACAAAAATAGTAGCAGTGGTCATTCCTAACAGGCCCCACTAACTGTAGATGAGGCCCAGATTTAATTTCCACTTCACTTATTTTGCCTGGGAGACTCGTATAGTATCTTGAGACCTCAGGCCACAAGTGTAGCTCATAGACTAGTACATAAACCTGTTAGAGGGTGAGTTACATTGTAGACATTTTTTATATATTCCTCCCAACCAAAGGTGGGAAGTCTGAAATTTTCGACTGAAGCTCCCACATATGCACCAAAGATTTCTTTTTAAACCTGCTTATCGAAACGAGTGCGAATAAACAAGAGAGTGGAACGGTCGAAAAATCCAAACATTATGTCCTAACCACATTATTGGTGATCTAGGTTATAAACATCATTTCCAACTTTGAAGATGGCAAGGTTACAGTAAGTACTTTAACTTCCCTTAACAAAGCTCAGAATATACTCCTTTCCATGTATTTCGGCACTCTAAGACCATGTCACTGACGCACTCGTAATGAATAGGTATAAATTATTTCCTTAAAATATATATGATGTAATGAGATGAAGAAACAACATCCTCATCAGTATGAAATTTAATTGAGGAACTATGGACACAGCAATTTTGTTACAGATAACTTACCAACTAGCTATCTAGACTGAATAAGGAGCAGATATAGAGTAGCGCTGAAATGACCAAGAATTATTTGTCGAAATCACTATACCACAATTTTACGTTTATAAGTTATAAATGCAGACATCCTTAGGATACAAGACATGACTCTGAGCTTAAGACAATTCGAATGAAATTTTCTGACTGAATATTGAAGCTTTCAGTAAGTAAGATATCAGAAATAAAATGAATTTTAGTATTTGTGCTTCTTTCATATTAGATTTGTTTATTTGATATAAAGCGCACAGTGATACAGTATTATTTAATTAATTACGTTTGGAGCATAAATTATTGCTCATAATCATACCAATGTAATCACACTTCTTTCAATATCTGATTTTATAGTCCTGTCACCTGATCTCTCTTTGTTTTTTTGTTTTTTGATTGGTAGTAAAGTTTTCCATATCTCTGGTATAGGTGTTGTGTCATTCCTATTACATGTGTTGGGTGTGGATTCGATGAACAAAGATTCAGTAATTAATCTCTCTCTCCACCTAGCTATATTAGACTTAAGTACAGTGGTTTTGTCCCATCCTATTGTGTGGTTGTGTGTTAATGAATGTAATGCAATGGCCGAGTGTTTTTCTAGGTTATTGATCTTATTGGGGTCTGCCGTTCTATGTTTAGCTAAATTCCTATGTTCTGTTAATCTAACTGACCCCGACCGGCTAGTTTGACCTATGTATTTGACTTCACAGTCATTACATGGAATTTGGTAGATTATATTATTTTGCTTAATTGGTTCTATCGGATCTTTTAGCCGACAAAGCTTACCTCTAAGTGAGTTTGTTGGTTTAAATGCCACCCTTATTCCAACCTTGTTGAGAATCCTACGTATGGTTTCTGATGTTCCTTCCTTGTATGGTATCACAATAGAGGTGTTGGTTTCCTTTCTACTTATGTTGTCACTATTATTTGTATTTGTATTAGTGTTATTATTTTGCTTCTTATGTGTCCGTGTGAATTTCTTACTAAAATGATGGGGATAATTATTGATTATTAACGCTTCTTTTATGTGTTTCAATTCCTTTTTTAAGTCCTTACAATGACTAGTGAGTTTCTCAGCTCTGTTATTTAGACATTTGACTAAACCCGCTTTAACTGACACTGGATGAGATGACTTGAAGTCTAGATATCTAGAAATCAACTAGATACTGACTCACAGCTTACTCAAAGAACCAAGGCATCGGTTGGTGAAATCATGTTAGGAGTGCAGTTATGCTTAACCTCGACAGTCTTCAAGTTTCAGGGAAAGATTTATAGACAAACAGAAGGAGTAGCAATGGGATCACCAATATCCCCTATAGTAGCAGATATATTTATGGATAGTTGGGAAGATATGGCTTTACGAACATATAATCCGACACCTAAGATATGGTGGCGATATGTAGATGACACATTTACAGTGTTGAAATCGGAACATATCGACAGTTTCTTGACACACATAAACTCAGTAGTTAACGCAATCCAATTCACTACGAAGTAGAAAATGAACAAGGAGAATTACCTATGTTGGATTGCAGAATAAAACGAAGGATAGATGGTGGTTTAGATACTACCGTCTACAGAAAACCAACACATTCTAACAGATATCTAGACTTCAAGTCATCTCATCCAGTGTCAGTTAAAGCGGGTTTAGTCAAATGTCTAAATAACAGAGCTGAGAAACTCACTAGTCATTGTAAGGACTTAAATAAGGAATTGAAACACATAAAAGAAGCGTTAATAATAATAATTATCCCCATCATTTTATTAAGAAATTCACACGGACACATAAGAAGCAAAATAATAACACTAATACAAATACAAATAATAGTGACAACATAAGTAGAAAGGAAATCAACACCTCTATTGTGATACCATACAAGGAAGGAACATCAGAAACCATACGTAGGATTCTCAACAAGGTTGGAATTAGGGTGGCATTTAAACCAACAAACTCACTTAGAGGTAAGCTTTGTCGGCTAAAAGATCCGATAGAACCAATTAAGCAAAATAATATAATCTACCAAATTCCATGTAATGACTGTGAAGTCAAATACATAGGTCAAACTAGCCGGTCGGGGTCAGTTAGATTAACAGAACATAGGAATTTAGCTAAACATAGAACGGCAGACCCCAATAAGATCAATAACCTAGAAAAACACTCAGCCATTGCATTACATTCATTAACACACAACCACACAATAGGATGGGACAAAACCACTGTACTTAAGTCTAATATAGCTAGGTGGAGAGAGAGATTAATTACTGAATCTTTGTTCATCGAATCCACACCCAACACATGTAATAGGAATGACGCAACACCTATACCAGAGATATGGAAAACTTTACTACCAATCAAAAAACAAAAAAACAAAGAGAGATCAGGTGACAGGACTATAAAATCAGATGTCGAAAGAAGTGTGATTACATTGATATGATTATGAGCAATAATTTATGCTCGAAACGTAATCAATTAAATAATACTGTATCACTGTGCGCTTTATATCAAATAAACAAATCTAATATGGAACTACATTCTACCACAGTGCCCAAGCTTTTCACTTACATTTGTGCTTCTTCGGCTTGCAAACTGCAATACTGCAAAAGACAATTTAGCTTGCAGGGCTCAACCGTCCTGTTATTGTTGCTACATATTATAAGTAGATAACCACATGTTTCTAAAACGTTCTGGGTACCTTGACCAAAAATAATAAGTCTGAATACATCTGGAATCTAATCCAGAAAATGATATCCATGAGATGTAGATTCATTTGCTTTGATAATGCTAAGAGTCCAAAGAGAAACCTAATGGTTAAGTTCTTTCACACCAGCTTAGACTAGTTTCTTGTTCTAAACAGTATTTAAAATATGTCGCTTATATATGTCCAGTATATACAAACGACATGGCAACGTACTTGCTGCATGTTGCGAGAGCCATCGCATTTGGTTCATAAACATGCCCACACTGAACAGCTTCTTCAAACCAAGTCTTGAATAAAAGTAGGGGTCCTTTTGGCTTATATCTATGATATCAAAAGTATCATCTGACTTTCTATATGGGATTCTCATATCTAATAACAGATACATGATTAACATAGATAATTATTAATACTTACGACTGATTTTTAGTTGACTGTTCATGTTTACGAAGCTACGATAAAAAGTTCGTAGCATAAGACACCCAGAAGCGAATCAGTTTCCTCCTGAATACGTTCTTCACTCTAGTTAAAGATGCAATAAAACTATAACAATACTGAAGATAAAGGAGAATAATACGTCACCATCAAAACTTAGTACCATTAAACAGGTGAACGAACTGAAGCTTAGAAATTCTCACAACAATGTGTTGTTAAAGAAAGGTGTCATAGGTCAGAGTCGATCTCAGTGGCACAGATATATTCATACACTATTTTTGTCTCAGTCATCCTCCTGAATTTCGGTATTCTTTCATTCTTCTATGCTTTCATTTTACTACTTTCTATCACCTTGACTGCTTTCTTTCCTATTTTTTTGTCTTTCATCTTGACGTTTTCTAGCTTGATGTGCTGATATGAGGTGTGACGAATTGGACCACTACGCAGTTGTGCCTGATTCTATGGTGATCTTGTCTGTCTGTCCGCCAAAGAAAATCAAAAATGAGAACCACTACCCACCTAAGATTTGCTACCAATTACATCATAACCTTTGTTTAAACAAAGTCAGTTTGTATTATCTTGCTTTTAGTTCTACTTTTCAATACTATTACTTTTTACTCATTTTTAAGAGTGAAAAGTAAAATCCACGTAAAAAAATTTATGTGGAACTGCATCTACACTGCACCATGACGAAATAAAATCACTAAGGGCTAGACCTTAAAGATAATTTCAAAAGCGAAACTCCACCTAATATTGCATCAGTTTGAGTTGTCAAACTTTTATACTTAACAGAGGGGTAAAACAAAAAAAGACAAATAAAATAATCGAAGAAAGTGAGACACATAGTAAGTAAGTGTGTAGAAATTCGGATAAGTAAGAAGTGACTGTATCAACACTTTGGCGATCAACTGATAAATATTAAGTAAGCTTCCAGTATTTTCGAAAATCCATAGAATTGAAATGCACTGAGCAACATTGTGCGAATTCATGCAGTAGGTAGTGAACAACACCTATTGCGTGAGGGCTGACGATACTCACTGGCTGCCAAACCCCCGATGAGTGGAACGGTGTTCGAACCCGTAATACACTGGTTTGAATTCAACTGCCTAAACCAATAAATCACAGCCTGACAGTTTTATCTAAGATCCAAAATGTATTATACAAGGCGACTGGAATCCACAAGCAACTTATAACACATTACTAGCTCATTACATTCACACCACATTTTATCGAGACATTCGAAGATATCTTCAAGTTGGAAACTTTAGACAATCTCAACAATATATTTAGGATTGGGTTAAGATTTGATTGTGCTAACGCTGGACAGAAAAAAAATCTGTACTTCTGGCACAGGAATATCGTATGGCTACTTTGGGGGTTTGACATTTCCTAACTCATCCCTACCCTAGGGAAGGCAACATCAATATGGAACTACTGGCCATTCGCAGCAAACACCTTAGTATTGTCATACATCTTCCAGACAGAGGTAAGACTTCGCCTTCGAACCTCGGCTGGTAGCTGCTACCTTGACGTGGTGGTCGGACTTGTATATCACAGTGATCCAAAGAGCCATACTGGCTGGAACATTTGTTCCCTCGAGGTCCTATAATGACAGAGACGTCTGTTGGATAGTGGTTAGACAAAAAGCAGTTACCACTGATGTAAGGTGCCACACTATGACGAGAGTTCGAAGGCGAAATCATACTGCTGCTAGTTGGACGCTATGTGATAGCGGTACGGCGTTCCCCTAAGATGACCGGGAGTGCCATGTTAATTCCACCTTTCCAATGGAAAGAGAGGGTTACGAAGAGTAGGCCCCCAAAATAGCCCACTCCTTTCATCCATCCATCCAGATCAACCTGGGACCAGGCATTACTGTGTAACGGTACGAGTTCCCACACCTCATATCAGTACATCAAGTAAAAAGGCATTGAGGCGCAAGATGAAGATAAGAGAATGCAGCCAAAAGAAATATAAAGTACTAAAAGAGAGAAATGAAGAATGAGAAAGTGGTGAGATTCGGTATAGCGTCGTTAACATGAGGATAATGTGTATATGCATCTGCGCCACTGACATCGGTCCTCAGCCATATCACCTACAGTCTCCAACCACTGGTTTCTCTTGTCCTGCGGACCCCAACCACCTAGTCTGCATCACCCCACATGGCTCAAGCCAACAGTCAGAGACTTCATACATTGGTGTCATCTTTTAGTCTGGCCACCTCAAGCCTTTTGCCAGCGTGGACCTAGGCATGTGTAACACGTGTCTCAACCATCTCAACCGATGAAGGTTCACAACCTCGTCAACTGACTTACCTCTTCTCCCTAAAACTCTACTCCTGACTTCTGTGTTACTCACGTGGTGACGCCACGGAATACGTCCTATACTACGAAGGCAACGGTGGTCAAACACATAAAGCCTTCTCATGTATTCCACTTTGAATGGCCATGTTTCACAGCCATACAGCAGAACAGAGAGGACTGCTGTGCAGTTCACGCCACCCTTAGTAGACAATCAAACAGGTGGCATAGGTTGGCAAAAGCCAATCGAGCCTTTTGTATCCGTGCAGAGATTTCACACACCAATGAGCCATAAGAGCTGATCCTACTTCTCAGGTAAGTGAAGTCGTCGACACAGTCAACCACTTCACTCTCTATTGTTAGCCGAGGTGGGGGCACCGTTGAAGACCAATCCTCATCATCATCATCATTATCAACATAGGACCAGGCATTACTGTGTAACGGTCCGAGTTGCCACACCTCATATCAGCACATCAAGTAAAAAGGTAGTGAGGCGAAGGATGAAGATAAGTGAATGCAGTCAAAAGAAATATAAAGTACGAGAAGAAAGGAAAGAGGAGTGACAAAATGGTGAGATTCGGTATAGCGTTGTTAAGATGAGGATAATGTGTGTATACATCTGCGCCACTGACTTCGGTTCTGAGCCATGGGATCACCTAGGGTCTCCAACCACTGGTTCCTCTTGTCCCGTGGACCCCAACCACCTAGTCTGCATCGTCCTACATGGCTCAAACCAACAGTCAGAGACTTCATACATTGGTGCCATGTTTTAGTCTGGCCACCTCGAGCCTTTTTCCAGCCTGGACCCACCTCAGCCAACATTGTGTGACGAGGCAATCGGTGACTAGGCATACGTAGTACGTGTCCCAACCATCTCAACCGATGAAGGTTCACAACCTCGTCAACTGACTAACCTCTTCTCCCCAAAACTCTACACCTAACTTCTGCATTACTCATGTGGTGACACCACGGAATACGTCCTATACTACGAAGGCAACGGTGGTCAAACACTTGAAGCCTTCTTATGTCTTCCACTTTGAATGGCCATGTTTCGCAGCCATACAGTAGAACAGAGCGGACTGCTGTGCAGTACACGCCACCCTTAATAGACAATCAAATATCACGGCGGCGCCATAGGTGGCGCAAATTGGCAAAAGCCAATCGAGCCTTTTGTATCCGTGCAGAGATCTCATCGGCGACTAACCCATCAGGGTTGATCCTACCTCCCAGGTAAGTGAAGTGGTCGACACACTCAACCAATCATGGAGCAGCAATTTGCATTTGGGTGGTGAGAAACGCATACCAAACATTCTCAAATTCCCACTCAAAGTGTTCAGAAGACTCTGCATCTTGTCAGCGTCTTCACCTAACAGGACAATGTCATCTGCATATTCTAGCTCTAACGAAAATTCTCCACCGATTAGGAAAACGTCTGTGTAATCAGTTGACGAGAGGGAAACCTCCATAAGAGTATGTGATAAAATTGAATGAAAATGGAGAGTGGGCACCCTTGACGGACACCACTCGATGGGTACAGCACACCTGACATATCATAGGCTCTAACACATCCGCAAGTGTTCGAGTAGAGAGCCTTCAATAAAGTGATGTACTTACTCGGCACGCCTTTCAGTGAGAGATATTGCCATAAGACTTCTCGGTCAACGGAGTCAAATGCCACCTTCAGGTTGAAAAATACAGCCAGTGTCAGGCGCCGGTAAGCGTGTCTGTGTTCCAAAACCTGGCGCAGTGTGAATACTTGATCGATACACCCGCGGCCAGGTCTAAAGCCTGCTTGGTTTTCTCGGGCTTGCTCTTCCCAAGCTCCACTCAGGCGTCGAAGAATTATAGAACCTAGGATTTTGGATACTATGTTCGTCAGACTGATTCCTCTGTGGTTATCACAAGAAGACTTCTCGCCTTTCTTGAACACTGGGATAATGAGTGACTTAGACCAGTCAGAGGGGATCGTATTTGATTCCTATACACTAGCTTATACTTGCGTTAACTTGACTAAGAGCACCTTACCACCATCCATCTGGTCCTGCTGCCCTTCCTCATTTCAGGTTACCTACCGCTTTCTCAACTTCTCCTAGTGTTGGGGGACCTATCTCAATGTTCCATTCAGGATCCGGCTGGATAGCAGGCAACGCAATGTGGCTGGAGGCCAGTTAAACTGTTCCTCAAAGTGTTCTGCCCATCGTTCCAGTCGTCTCCTCTGCGAGTGAATCGCAGATCCGTCCTTCTCCGCTATGGTCTCACTAACTACTGTTGACCATTTTCCCCAGTCTCCTTAATAAGTCTAAATAACTGTCTACTGTTACCGATCGCCGCTGCCTTTTCCATCTCTTTAGCCTTCGCTGCCCACCACTGTTCACGATCGTTGCGCAGACTTTTCGTCAGTCTATTTTTAAGTTGCGCTCGCTCTTCATTGTACTCAGAGCCTGCAGGGATGCATTCACGTGCATCCATTAGTTTGGAAGAAGCTGCTGATATCCACTGGCTCTTTTTAGCCATTCTTTTGGAGTCGGCTACAGTCTTGTGCTGCTTTTACAGTAGACTGAAGATGGCACCAAGCTTCTTCTGGATGAGTGACAGTCTTTTGTTCCGATAACTGCCTAGCCAACTTCTCACTGAACACGGCTTTGGTGTTTTCGTTGTCCAGCAGAACTCGTAGTGGTTTTGTTGCCAAATTTTTTCTACGTCCATTGAGACGCAGGCATATACGTGCTCGGACCAACGCATGATCGCTGTCCAAACACGTACTCCAGAAGGAGCGGCAGTCTTCCA